CCGACAATATCGTAATTTTTTTTGGTTGAGGGTTTAGTATTAATTATTAAACGTCAATATGAATAAAACTAAAAATGTTGTTTTCTTTCAATTTTTGTTTTGTTTTTTCTTGCTGTTGTTCCCAGCTTGAAATATTTCGCTTTGTCATCATTTTAGCTTTGTTTCATTTCATCAGTTTCGCAAAATACTATCAATTTTCAGGAATCTGCTATGCCAAAACCATCAAAAAACCATCTTTCTGATGTTCAGTTCTACACTCGATTCGACGTTCATGCTTATGGTCTCAACGTATTTCGGGCGGAACTATTTTTCCTCATTGATATATTAAAATTCACTTCTCAAACAGTTGAGGAGCACGACTTAATTTGTGATAAAGCGTGTGCTAGAGCAATAAGGAGAATGGAATATGCAATTGATTCGGGATTTGAGGAAGTGGAGGACAAACATGCTGATCGTCTGGATGCGGTGAAACATTTAGTTTACGTACAGGTTCGTTTTCTTTCTATTGTGCTAAAATATTTACATAACCAAATCATAATTGTGTTTTTATTTCAGTGTTTCACAGTGGGCCACAATTTTTACAAACTGCTCGCCAATCACACTCGTGAAACTCTCGGCGAGGATATGAAACCATATTTATTTTGCAAACAATTTTCGCTACCATGTGAAGGGAACGAGAAGATCAAAAATAGAGAGAACCGACAAGAAGTATTATCTGAAGTGTTTCAAACAAGCACACGTGGAATGATTGAAAGATTTGAAAAAAATCGAATGTACGAAGACTGTGTTTTGGCTGATGTTCACGCCAGTGCAATAGATGAGTTCCTGGTCAAACTGGAAGACGACATGGAAGAAGATATGGAAAGAGAAATGAATTCGGTCCAACTCGAAGCCTACTGCTGTTACAATTATCATGAAGCCTACAATAGCATGATAGAGGAAATCGATCGAATGTTTGCTGAACTCAAAGCCGATAGTGCTGAAACCCGTCACTGGGTATTGTCATCCAAGGAAATGGTAATCAAGCGCGTAAGTTTTTTTTTTCTTCAAAAACTGGCCCTTGATTTCATATTTATAATTTCAGTGCCGCGTGGAAGCCACGGAATTTTTCAATCGATATCATGATTACTGGAACGATCTGTTGGCTGCAGAGAAAGAAAATCGTGAAATAGATACTTTCGACATCGATCCTCGTCTGAAGATTATGCTGCGTGAAAGCAGGAAACGGATTAACAAAAGTAAAACAGAGCGAGCTGGATTGGAATTAGCTGAAAATTTGAAGAGAAATTTTAATTGTGAGAATCCAAAAGATTTCTGGAATACTTCTTCTCAAAAGAAATTTAACAATCTTGCCTACCTTCCAGAAGTGGAAGGCACAATCGCAAAAGAGGTCCAAAACCAATATGGAAAACACGTTCAGGAAAAGATGTATGCGGTCTCCTCGGATGTTCAAAATCTCAATGTTGAAGCTCCGAAAAAAAAGAATGAGCAATCTCGAAAGGAAGTTAAAGCTTCGGTTCAGTCAAGTCTGCAAGGATCGAGCACTCAAAGCACTTCGGGGCCACAAAGAATCGCAGAAGAGGTCCAAATCCAATATGAGAATCAGGTTCAGGGAAAGATGAATGCGGTCTCCTCGGATGTTCAAAATCTCAATGTTGAAGCTCCGAAAAAGAAGAATGAGCAATCTCGAAAGGAAGTTAAAGCTTCGGTTCAGTCAAGTCTGCAAGGATCGAGCACTCAAAGCACTTCGGGGCCACAAAGAATCGCAGAAGAGGTCCAAAATCAATATGAGAATCAGGTTCAGGGAAAGATGAATGCGGTCTCCTCGGATGTTCAAAATCTCAATGTTGAAGCTCCGAAAAAGAAGAATGAGCAATCTCGAAAGGAAGTTAAAGCTTCGGTTCAGTCAAGTCTGCAAGGATCGAGCACTCAAAGCACTTCGGGGCCACAAAGAATCGCAGAAGAGGTCCAAAATCAATATGAGAATCAGGTTCAGGGAAAGATGAATGCGGTCTCCTCGGATGTTCAAAATCTCAATGTTGAAGCTCCGAAAAAAAAGAATGAGCAATCTCGAAAGGAAGTTAAAGCTTCGGTTCAGTCAAGTCTGCAAGGATCGAGCACTCAAAGCACTTCGGGGCCACAAAGAATCGCAGAAGAGGTCCAAATCCAATATGAGAATCAGGTTCAGGGAAAGATGAATGCGGTCTCCTCGGATGTTCAAAATCTCAATGTTGAAGCTCCGAAAAAGAAGAATGAGCAATCTCGAAAGGAAGTTAAAGCTTCGGTTCAGTCAAGTCTGCAAGGATCGAGCACTCAAAGCACTTCGGGGCCACAAAGAATCGCAGAAGAGGTCCAAAATCAATATGAGAATCAGGTTCAGGGAAAGATGAATGCGGTCTCCTCGGATGTTCAAAATCTCAATGTTGAAGCTCCGAAAAAGAAGAATGAGCAATTTCGAGATGAAGTGAAGGCTCCGGTTCAATCAAGTCAGCAAGGGTCAAGCACTCAAAACACTTCGAGGGCAGAAAGAGCGCAACGATTAAAAACTTCGCGGTTACAAAGAGCACAACGATCGAGAAATTACACATACCTGCAAAACCTGCAACGCCAAAGGACGGAGGAGAATGCAGCAGCACAATCGGCAAGAACGTCAAATCAGAATGTATGTTTTTATCTATTTCGATCGGGGGAATTTCATGTTTCCTCTAATTTACTCCCCGCCCATATTGTCAAATTTGAGCTTAGTTATCTCAATTTTTGTGAATGATATCAAAATTTTATCAACTGATACATTTTCATTGAAGTACCACCAACACTTAATCAGTTGACAGAAATGTTATATCTTCCACAAATATCAAGATAATCGAGCTCGAAGTCTATGATTTGATGAGTTTCTATTAGAGAAAATACGGTAATGCTTCTCTTTTTTTTCTAGAAGTTTGTTGTTTCAAATAGTTCATTTTCAGGCCCAAGTCCCCACTCAGAACCGGGAATCAGTCCGTCCACCTAGCCATCCTGAACACCGAACCGATATTCTCGCCAAAATGATCGCCAAGTGCTCTATTTCGAAATGAAGAGCATAACGAAACATATTTTGACTCAACCAACGTTATTTTTCGAAATTATTCAAAATCATATCTATTTTTAAGTATTAATTGCTTTCCTAGCAGTCCCATGATGCTCGAAATACCCTTAATTATTTTTTTCCGGTTTCATCTTACACCTCACTAATTTTCTTTTCCTTTTTATCACGATTCAATCAGACATGAAGCCTGAATTACCGTCTACTTATTTTCTCCCTGTTTCACTTTTTTGCCCGTTCTTCGTAAATTATCTTGAACCGTTTACTAATCTCTCAACATCAATTCCTCGCCCTAAAATGATTCTCAGCCTAGCCAACAAACGTTTCTTATGTATCATTTATTCGCTAGCCTCCCATGATTTTTATAAGATTAAAAAAAATTTTTTTAGTTTTCGTAGAATGTTTTGTATATCCAGATTTCTTTGTGACCCGTATGGATTGTCTTGTTACATATGCAAGCTGAAAATGTATCCAATTAAAAAAAAATTAAAATCCCCTCTGTTAAATTTTCTGTATGCAATGCATGACCCGAAAACAAAAGCAAATCAGCATTTTGCTGCGGCCGCGGCAATTAAAAAAGCTGAGGTTTTCTAGGCCAGCCGCTAGTCTTTCTAGGCCACTCGACAAATCCGTGCGAGACCCTTGCGTTTGATGTGGAAGCGATTTACGAGCTCAAATTTCGTTTTCTGCCTTGCGTCCATTTTTGTCCTCTTACAATAAGAATAAATTTCCTCCTCTTGGCTATAAACATTTTCTGATTTACACCTAAACGGATTGTCGAGCTAATACCGCGTTACATTCGCGCTGGGCGCAGACCATTACTGTGGTGTTGTGGTCCTGTTCATCGGTAAGGTCAAATTTCTCTGTCACACTCCACTTATCTCACACACTCTCACCATTCACCCAAAAATAATTGGTCCATGCTACCCATTCCTTGTGCGTTTGGTGTAACCTGGCACGATTTGTAAAAATGTATTGTTCTGACGTGTTTTAAGGCAATTCTTCTTTTTCATATTGTCATGTGTTCAGTCAGCAACTTTTGTCTGATCATAACTTCACTGGAAGGACTTACTTGGTGAAAAACACTTTACGTTATTCATAAACTGTGACTTGTTTCGCTTCGTTTCGTTTGATCATTTTTTCCATTGCAAAATATTTTTGATTTCCAGAAGTCTGCTATGTCAAAGCCACCAAAAATCGCTTCTTCCGATTCTACACTTGGTTCGAATTCTACACTCGAATTCTACACTCGGTTCGACGTCCATGCGCATGGTCTGAACGTGTTTCAGTCTGAAGCATTTCTCCTCATTGATAGATTAACATGCAAAGCTCAAACTGTTGAGGAGCACGACTTTGTTCGAAAGCACTTGTTAGAGCAAGACAAAGGAACAAGTACGTTTTTTCCTATTGTGCTGAAATTTCAAGAAAACCAATTTTGTTTGATGTCTCTATTTCAGTGTTTCGAAGAGGGTCGCAAATTCTTCGATATGTACGCCGAACACACTCGAGAAGCTCTCGACGAGGAGATGAAACATCTTATCTTCTGCCGTCAACATTTGAAACCATATGAAGAAACGGAGAAGACTAGAAATCGATGGAAGCGACAAGACAAAATATTTGAAATACAAGGGAAAAGCGCGAACGGAATGCTCGAAAGACTTAAAAAAGATCGAATGTACGAAGACTGTGTTTTGGCTGATGTTCACGCCAGTGCCATAGACGAGTTCCGGGTCAAGCTGGATGACAACATGAACGAAGCTATCAATAAATCAGTTGATTCACGCCAATTCATGAAGCTCTGCGAAACTCTTTATATAGAAGCGTACGAATGCATGAAGAAAGAAATTGATTATATGTTTGCTGCAATAACATTTGAGAATGCTGAAGCCCGTCACAGGGTCTGGTCATTCAAGGATATGGTCATCAAGCGCGTAGGTTTTTTTTCAAATTGAATTTCCATTCCATGTTTATCATTTCAGTGCTGCGTGGAATCTCACGTGTTTTACGACCGATATATTGATTACTGGGTAGACATGTGCTGCGCCAAGAAAGAAGGTTGTGAAATAAATGATTTAGACGTAGATCTACGTTTGATGACTATGTTGGGTGAAAGCAAAGAACGAGTTGGCAAAAGGAATGCAGAACGTCAAGCAAAATTGGACTTTGCGGAAAAATTGAAAAGAAATTTTAACTGCGAGGATCCAAAAAGTTTCTGGAAGACATCTGCTCAGAAAGAATTGGACCAAAAGTCTCCTGCCGCTGTTCCACCAATTATGAAAAAACTCAACAATCTTGCCCACCGTCCGGAAGTGGAAGGCACAATCGCAGAAGAGGTCCGAAACCAATATGAGAATCACGTTCGGGAAAAAATGAATGCGGCCTGCTCTGATGCTCAAAATCTCAATGATGGAGCTCCGAAAAAGAAAAATGAACGAACTCGAAAGGAAGATAAGACCCAGGTTCAATCAACTCAGCAAGGGTCGAGCACTCAAAGCACTTCGAGAGCAGAAAGAGCGCAACGATTAAAAACTTTGCGGTTACGAAAAGAAGAAAAAATCAGAAACTACACGTCCATGCAAAACCTGCAACGCCAAAGGGCGGAGGAGAATGCAGCAGCACAATCGGCAAGAACGTCCAATCAGAGTGTATGTTTTTATCTTTTTTTTTAATGGAGGAATTTCAAAATTCCTCTAATTAAAGCTCCGCTCAAATCGTCAACTTTGAGCTCATGTCAGCTGTCTCGATTTCTGTAAAAGATATCAGAAAGTGGTAAATAAAAAATTAGTCAACATAATTTCACCAAACTTTTTATTAGTTAACCGAAATTTGATATCATTCACAGATATAAAGATAATTGAGTTCAACATCTACTGTTTTGGTGGGCTTCTATCAGAGGGAATACAATAATTCTTCCCATATTTTTATTCTAAGAGTTTGTTGCTTCAAAAAGTTCATTTTCAGGCCCAACCCTCAATTGAGAACCGGGAATCAGTCCGTCCACCCAACCTTCGGGGCTGCTCTGATGTTGAGGAACTCAATGTTGGAGCTTCGAAAACGAAGAAAGAGGAATCTCAAAAAGAAGTTGAAGCTCCGGTTCAATCAAGTCAGCAAGGGTCGGGCAGTCAGGGCTCTTCGAGGGCACAAAGAGCAAGACGACCAAAAAGTTATTTGTATTTGCTCGAGCTACGAAGTCGAAGGGCGGAGGCGGATGACGTGGCACGATTTGCATGCGTGTCAAATCAGAGTGTATGTTTCTGTTGTCTTCTATTTTCAATTTTTGAAGCTGTTGATTGAAAAGTCATTTTTCAGGCCCAACCCTCCATTCAGAACCGGGAATCAGTCCGTCCACCCAACCTTCGGGGCTGCTCTGATGTTGAGAAGCTCAATGTTGGAGCTTCGAAAACGAAGAAAGAGGAATCTCAAAAAGAAGTTAAAGCTCCGGTTCAATCAAGTCAGCAAGGGTCGGGCAGTCAGGGCTCTTCGAGGGCACAAAGAGCAAGACGACCAAAAAGTTATTTGTATTTGCTCGAGCTACGAAGTCGAAGGGCGGAGGCGGATGACGTGGCACGATTTGCATGCGTGTCAAATCAGAGTGTATGTTTCTGTCGTCTTCTATTTTCAATTTTTGAAGCTGTTGATTGAAAAGTCATTTTTCAGGCCCAACCCTCCATTCAGAATCAACAATCTGTCCGTACATCCAGCCATCCGAAAAACGAAACCAATATTCTCACCAAAATGATGGACAAGTGCTCTGTTTCCAAATGAGAAATTCTACAGAAAATCCCATTTTGTTATCAAAAATGCCTGATATTTTCTGAAACGTCCCTCTTTTTTTCAAAACTATTCAACCAGCCATGAAGCTTGAATTGTCCTTTTTATCTTCTTCCGTTTTTACTTTTTTTCCCGTTTTTTGTAAATTTTTCCAAACAGAACCACTGATCTCCCAACATCTCTCTTCTCATTCTGAAACGATTCTCAGCTTTTCAAAAAAACTTTTCTTGTCAAATGTGTTATTTATTCGCTAGCCTCCCACGAATTTCATGAGATTCAATAAATTGCTTTTTGGTAAATAGACTTCCTTTTCCGCCGCAAGAACTGTCTTGTTACATGTTTGAAATACAAATACAGTATCGGTCAAAAAGATATACAAAAACATGTTTTCAGTTGATTTTTACACATTTCGGTCATTTTTACTACAGTTTTTGACCCGTTCTTGTTCTCTAAACGTGAAATGACGGTTCTTTCAGAAATCGGCAAGTAACTGAAAAACTAGGTGTTTCAAAAAATTCTGTTTCACACCCTCGCAAATTTTCATAGCGATCGGAAACTTTACGGGCGAGCTCCAGACACCTGAAAACGATTATATCGGCCTAAAATCAATTGCAAAACACAATTTTTATTGACTGGCACTGTACTGTATATATATAGGGTTGTTATTTTCCTGGGGAACTGCCTTGTTACATAATCAAGCTTGAAATGCCATACTTCGAATTTTCTGTGTGCAATCGAGCACCTTTGCATGACCCAGAGATTATTTTCTGCCGACCGAATAGGCCACGTTGCAAACGCGTTGTGCGCGCACAATTGGTGTGTTGTGGTGGTCCTCTTCATCGGTAAGGTCAACTCCGTCTCTCTCTTTCTCTCTCGCCCTCTACTTATCTCATACATTCTCATCTCCTCATTCACCCAAAAACAATTGCCCCCGTTTGGTGTGGCACAGTGTGTCTTACGTAAACTTTCCATTTCGGGCGGGCCTCCCGGAAACGCCCGTCACCCAACAGGGTAACGGGCCGCCCTACACCCGCCCGATACGCCCGGTTTCGTGGTCCAACAAAATTATGATTAAACGCGCTTTACACTTTTTGAAATCTTTTTTGACGCAAAACAATAAATGAAATTTAATTCAGGCGTTTCAAAATATAGGGCGTCAGGCGGGCGCCACACCCGGGCGGGCGGAGCAGGTGAAATTCGCCCGAGATGGAAAGCTTAGTCTTACGCAATCGATTGTTTTTTCTCTTTTCCATCCTTCGACGACTCTTTCTTCCTTTTTTTTCCGACACACCACTGATAGATGTGTTCACTAACAAACAATTTTCCAGAACTTGATTCCAAACATGACTGAAAGCTTTCCGGTAATATTCCACACAAAAACTCCATCTGCGCCGATGCTCACTCACAAGGGTTGGACTTATTCCGTATTTGGGTGTTCCAGTATCTGGAACAGCATGCCTTCCGCTTACGGATATGTCCTAATACGCAAACGTCAGTCAGAAGGCACTCCAATGCGCAAAATCATTCATGGCAACCAAGATTGAAGCCGTAATGAGCGAGGCAGAATATGGAAGTGTTACCAAGTACAATAAAGCAAGACAGGCTGTCGAAAAACGAGTAAGTTTCAGTTTTTATAATGCAGTACTTCAAGACAAATAATAATTTCAGTGCTTGAAGGACTGCATGAACTTCTACGATGAGTACTCGAATCTTATCAAACAAACCTTGTACATAACGCAACAATTGTTAAGCAAAAACCGAACGGATGGTGAGAAACGTCATTTGGAGCGGGAACTGGAGTGGCGAAAGCCAGTGAACGACCGTCTAGTCCAGGAGGTCGTCGACGGTGCATACCGACTGAGTGAGATTGCTGAAAAAGAGAAAGCAGAAAAGGAGACTCGCGAAAAAACTGGATCCAATGATAAGAATGCATCATATACTGCTATTCAAAACGAGATTCCAAAAGACAAATCACTGGAAATGGAATTTTCAAAGAATCAAGACGATGAAAAAGGACGATCGAAAAATCACAAGACACCGAAGAAATTGGAGGCGGCGGCCAGAAGGCCTTTCCGATTGAAGCAGTATTATTACATGCAAGAACTTCAACGCAAAAGAGCCGAGGAGTCCAAATCAGCCACATCATCGCAAGCATCGGAATCTAATATGAATGAGAAGGTATGTTTGCATCAGTTTCATTGAAAAACTTCAATTATTTCTTTGTTTTCAGTCAGACGACACTGCCGAAAAACAAGGATCCGCAAAAGCATCATCATCTGGAGAGAACCAACTCGCTGTTATCGCAGGAGAATTTGAAAGTGTGTCATCTCCTCGGTTGATGATTCCAAGTGTTTTAAAGCCTAGAAGAAATGACAATTTCGACACTTTGGATGCTGAAAATTATTCCTTATCTGTCAAGCAAGCGATTTCCAAGCTAATTTAATTTATTGTAATTATTGTAATCAAGTATTTCCTGATCTCCTAAAATAACTGATTGATTTCCCCCAATGTTTGTTTTATTCTTTTTTGAAATTCCCCTTCGCCCGATCCTTATATCTCGGCCCATATTTTTGAAATCTGTCAAATAAAATTGTGATTCCCCAAAAATGTGTTTCATCGGAAAAGAAACTAGTCATAAATATCTCGAATAAAATATCGAGCCATTTAATAAAAAATGATGAATTCTAAGAATATTAAATTACTTCTAAAATTATTTTTAAAAAATGATTTTCCAATATCGGCGGTTTTTTTTCGATACTAACTGTTTTTCAAGCGAGAACGGCATTCAATACACTGCCCTAATCCCGCTGTGCTATAGAGCGCGGTTACTTCCCCTCGCAAAAAACAACATTCACCGAAACACACACATACAAACGCACGCAGACGCTCGCGCACGCTCCGCGGGGTGTGCGATCGCGACGAGACCCGTCACAGGGTTATAGATTTTTCCAGTGTCCCTGCTGCCTCAGAACAGACACCTTTCAGTCTAGACAACTATCGAGGTCGCACAACACTGTCTACCTGGTACAATGGCTGAGGAAGGAGTCAGAAAAAATCCTGCAAGAGCATCTCGAGTCGCTCCAGTGAGATATGAGGATACACAGGAATCAAGCTCAAGAAGACCGGCAAATCGTAATGTGAGTTTTTAAAAATTATTTTTCTATCAGAAAAGTAGAAATATTGGCGGAAGTGCTCTGTCGTAATTTTGTTGAATTCACAATTTTAGGCCAAAATTTCCAAAATCTATAGGATTTCATTAGAGCGCGTTTGCCAATTCTCTTTTCTAATACACTGGAGGTTGATACGATGTGTACGAAAACGTATTGTTCAATTGATTTTTGGTCATTTGGACCATTTTCAAGTGTCTCGAGCTCGGTTGTTAAGTTTCCGATCACTTCGAAAATTCTGGAGGGTGTGGATGTACCAACAATTCTACAAATGCAAATTTTCTTAATTTGGATCTGTTTAACACCCTCCAAAACTTTCAAATTGATCGTAGCCGAGCTCCAGACCCCTAAAATTCCTGAAAATGACCGAAAATCAATTGAAAAATACATTTTTGTATATCTTATTGATTGGTATTGTAATCTTATTGACCGATACTCTATATGATTTCAATAGAGCGCGTTTCCATAAATTCCACGCTGCAAATAAATCTTTGGTATTACAATCTATTAATCCATTTCAGCAATCATATAATGATGGCTCTTACACTGTCGAACGAATTTTGGCAAGAAGAAAGATTGGAAAACGACTAGAATACATGGTGAAATGGAAGGTTAGTTTATCGAAAATCCACCAATTACATGTAATCAAAAATTCGGTTTTCAGAATTTTGCTGAGCATCAATCCACATGGGAACCCGCTGACAATCTGAACTGTCCGCGTCTGGTTGCTGCATTCGAGAGAAACAGAGAATCCGTAAGATATCTATTACTTTCCCACGTTCCACAAAATTTATATTTCAGGGATATGCAAAAGGTGTTCCGGAGCCACCAGCTAAGAAATCGAAACTTCCAAAATCAAACTGTAGACTTTCGCCGATTTCTTCTGAAGACGAGGAGGAGAAAGCCAAACCGCGAAAAATGATGAAAAAGGTGCATGGTCTCACGACAGCATCAGGGAAACTTCAATATTTGTGTTGTTTTGTGGACAACACTTTTGCACTTGTTTCTCGAAGAGACATGCATAACCAGTAAGTTTTCTATTTAGGTTTTGCATTCGAAATTCTTGTTTCCAGCTACTCCCGTCAGCTCGAAAGGTACTATAAAGATAAAGCAAAGGAGGAAGAAATGCAAATACCACTGCCAGAAAGAGAGGAAGTAAAGGAGCAGAAAATGATATCCGTACCACCACTTCTTCAAGATGATCTCTGAACTTTTGTTCAAATTCGATTTTTTGTCATGTCTTCATAATACCGTATTTTCTTTATTTATCTTCCAGAATCTCACGATAAATTGAAAAATCAATAAATTTTTTGACTATTATGTTTTTCGTTGAAGAGTGGAGAAAAAGGACACGCGAGAAAAAAAGGCGCACACACTTTCCAGGCGCCGCGGGTCTCGAAGCGATCATGCCCGAACGGGCATGAAACTCAAATTTCGAAATCATTCTACGTATTTTAACGAGGTCGTGTGTGTTTTTTGTCGAATTTTTTGGATTTTTTTTTGAAATTTTCTGTTGAATTCGGGTAGAAAACGGTCTATTGACTGTTTTCGATCGTCGTATATATCTCGTACCTAAAATATTGTTCAGAAATGGCGGATCCAATCGGTACTGAGGACTTGAAGAAATTCGGCGATGATCTTTTGGGGAAGATAGCAGAGATGGTGAAGGAAGTCGGAAATGAGAAAAAAAAGGAACGAGAGGCAGAGGAGGAGAAGCCACCGAAAGTGTCGTCCAAAGGCATTCAGAAGAACTTGGATTTCAATTTCAAAATCCGAAATATTTTGACAAAGGCGGCAGCCAACGGAGAGTTGGAAGGGGCAGTTAAGGAAGTTCAAGACTTACTGTAGGCAAGAAACGGAGAGCTGCTGCTGCTGCTGGATTCCGATCCGAGTCTTCTGCAGACGAAGGATAAGTTAGACGCCTTGAAGGCCATCGCTGAAGTTGATTCTGAAAGCTCGACGACACAATCTGACATGACTTCAATTCTACTCCTCTCTAATCTTGCCGGCAATAACGGAAACAGAAGCGGAGGATTCCACGGAGAAAGCAAAAGAGCAGTATGCGCAGAGACAACCGTGGTTTCGACATGAGAGCACTTTCCGAGGCCAGGGAAGTGCTCGGCAATACGGAGGCCAGGGATTCGGTGGAGGCAGAGGTGGAAAAGGAGGAGTCAAGTGCTTCAAGTGCTCCCAGTATGGTCACTATGCCACAGAATGTGAACAAAGAAGGTATGAGTTTTCCGGACAGACTGTCAGCAGCTATTGATTTTTGGGAGAAAATCTGTGACGTAGAATGGATACTAAGTGTGATTGAAGATGGTTTTAAGATTCAATTAAACTCAAATGTAGTGCTACCAGAGCCTCAGGGCTTGATACGGCACAAAGAATTTTTGGTTGCAGAAATTGAAAGGCTGGAGGCAGAGGGCGTTTTGACGCGATCGGACCACCAACCACGATGTGTGTCTCCGCTGCATGTTGTAGAGCAAGGTAAGAAAAAGAGAATGATTCTCGATTTGAGTGAGTTGAACGAGAGCCTCGTTCCTCCTCGGTTTAAGCTAGAAAACCTCAAAACTGCCTGGCCATTTCTAGAAGACGCGCGCTATGCGGCTACCTTATTATTACCACGTTAAACCTAAATTTAATAAACATGTGACATAAAATTCCTTTTTCGTAGTGATGAAACAGAAAAACATATTTTCTTGTAACGTAGAGGAAAGAGAATAAAACGTTCCATCCTCTTGAATCTAACACAACTAATTAAAAAAACAGTTGTTAAAGAAAGATGTTGTACGGATATCCTTTTCTGATAACGTTCTTTATCTTATCATCACGTGGCGCCACGACGGTTTGCTGCAGTAATAAATGTTGACCACGCGGTTGCAATAGTTGTCTCAACCATTATTTCATGTTAGATTACAAGAAAATATTTTCAATTTGTTTATTAATGCTCTTAACCCAATTCATGACATTTTTGGGATTGCAAATCTTCATTGCTGCCTATCTCGCCATGATTTCCACTAAAATCACAAAAAGTGTTAGGAAAAATCCAGTTTCAATCGCGCCTTGCTTTTGGACCGCTTGGTTGCCTGAAATTTGAGTGATTAATTTTTAAAAACTCATATACCATATTCCCTTTAATTGAAGCTCTTCCAAGCTGTCAAGTTTGAGCTCATTTATCTTGGTTCCTGGGAAAGATGTCGAAATTTTGCCAACTGATTAACTTTCGTCATAATATCATTATTAACTGATCAGTTGACAGAATTTTGATATCTTTCACAGAAATCGGGAAGCATGAGCTTGGAGTTGACGGTTTGGGTAAATTTTTAATAGAGGAAATGCGATATCTCAATAAATTAAACATGACAACTTACTTCTGCACTGACACAAAACTCCGGTTGCTGTGAAATTGCCCGGGTTCAAGCGAATCAAGCTGTATCCCTAAAAACTACGTGTTTTTCTTTTTTCCAAAAACCATGCACAAACCACAAAAGCCCCTTGAACAACATCACACGGCTCTGTTGCATTGCCAACTCCGGCTGTTATAGTTTTATTCTCGAGTCGGGACCACCAATTCCATTTTGCGGAACACTCTTCTCTTTCCAAACTCAACAGCATGCTATGATCAGGCTGGAAGCTTTGTGATTTTCTTGGGTATCGAGATTTTTTCTTACGTGTCGAATTCCATATTGTATATAGTATCCCAGAAGATCCACATCGGAGATAACGCCCATTTGGCACGAAGTGGCTGTATTTGAAGATTTTTACATTATCAAAATTTAGAATCTATTAGAACCGATCTTTTGGCCGCATACATCGGGTTACAACGATAAAATCTACAGGTAGTTATTTGAGATTTTCTTAGAGGTCGTACATCAAAAGAGCAATTATCAGCTGTTCTAAAAGATCGATCATGTTTCTCAGAAATAATAATTACATTCTCTGATTTCATCTTGCGTAACTAAATAAGCAAACCGAGCAGGTGCATTGAAATCAGATCGGTTAGAAAAAGGAAGAAAAACTCACGATGTAACTTGTTAAACAGAATTTCACATCGCTCCGGTATTGTGTAGTTCTCGGAATCTTCTTGTACCGGAGCGTATAGTGTACATTGGTCACCATAGAAAAATGTATTCACACCTTCTGTTTTTCCGATTGTTTTGCAAACCTGAAGCAAATTTGAGGATTTTTTGTTAATAGAGCATGAACTGTTTTTTGGTTTGTTCAGCTGCTCGCAATTATTAAAAAGTAACGATTTGTCAGTGTTGAAAAGAGCTATTGTTTATATTGTTTGTTGGAGCGCCGAACAGTTGTGCAAAATCATATGCTCACTGGACTATACAAACCAGAAGTACTACATCTGCTAAATTTTTCAATTCTTTCAAATTATGACCTTATTAGAAATTTAAATTAGTTCGGTTTTGTTGGAGGATAGTTGAAAAGCTATTCTAATTTCCATTTTCATCGATTTTTGTGATTAAAACATTTTTCAAACAATTTTTTAGACGTAACTTTCATCTTCAAACCAATATATCTCGTTTCCCGTGGAAGGCATCAAAAAGTGCTCAACTGACAAAATATTGTTTATTTTATGATAAACATTTTGTCAGTTGATCATTTTCTAATATATTTCACGAGAAACGAGATATCTGAACATAAAAATGACGGGTAAGGGGGGGGGGGGTCATTCTGTGAAAGTTTGTATGGTATAGTTGAAGTGAAGTTTCAAACTAATTAATGTTAAATTATTTTATAAATAAAACACAATTTTCAAACTAAGTTGCTTTTTTGCAATGCAAGCTTTCTTGATACTTTATTAGGATTTTAACAAAGAGATGTCCAGCACTTTTTTCATTCTCACAATGTCTCTTACCTCACACAATGTAGAGTTTCCTGGACAGTCATAGCAATAAGACAATTTTGAATATAGAAAAGGGATAAGAAAAATTGAAAAGCTGGTGAGTTTCATGTTCGAGTTAGATACTCTGTTGATAAATCAAGTCAACTCCGCTTCTCAAACTTTGAAGAAAACCCTATAATTCAGTTTCTGTGTTACTGAGGCAACCGAAACTTTTTCAGCGCCATTTCGATTGATATTCAATTATTTTGGCTTATTCTCTCTCATATGTCTAAAAATGTTGGGCGTAGAGCAAGTCTCACGGAAATGATGAAGTGGGAGGTGTTTTTAGTTTGGTATTGATCATGATTCACGGAATATCCGATAGAATGGGAGTGGTGGGTGCAGCGGAAGCGAAGAGGATGGAATTCGGGATCTGAATTCAGAAACTGTCTCGGACTGTGATCTTTGAAAAAAAATGTCATGAAGGTTGTGCAAACTTTATGGGAACCGGTTTCTTCTGTGCATTTTTATTAGTGTCAAGATAGTTTAACTCATCTAACAAGGCAACCTACTTTGTGAACCCAATATTTTGATAAAATGTTTAAGATGTGTTGAGAATAGAATATATATCAACCTCTGAAAATTTTGAAATCCGCTTGCCAGTTTTAGAATTAATAATATACATGTTTCAGACAATTTCTCCTCAAACACTTTTTAAAAAAAATTTTCTGATAAATCCTGGAAAAAAATCAAAATTTAAAAAATTCAATTTTTGATAAAATGTCTTAAATTTGAAATTTTATGAAATTCTCAGTATAAAACAACACATTTCATATTTCGAAACGTCCTAGAGGTTGAGAACATCGTTTTGGAAAATTCTGAGTTTTAATCTGCAATTTTGTAATTTTTAAACTGAAAATCTCCATCTCACGACCGTAAACAACACGTGAGTTTTCTAAGGATTCTTGAAGAACAAAGTTCTATTGTCCTTCAAGTTTTCTCTTCTTTCACAAAGTTTTTCACTTGCATTGTTGACTTTTTTTGTTACTTTTGCCCTTTTTCTCTGGACTTCTTTCCTTTCCAACAAACCCATCGGCTGTAGTTTCGCATTTTTGTTTACCAGTCCTCGCAGAGTGAATCGCGATAACAACCAAAGTGATGAGAATCAAAATGAAACGTCGGAGAGGGTTTTTGAGAGGGAGAGAGAAAGGGGGAGTGCGTAGGACACGCCGCAACATTGTAGGTATATGTATGCGATGGGTTGAAAAGTTGATAGTTCTTTTCATTTCATGCATGTGTCGTTTTGTGTGTTTCAAACAATATTTGATCATCCATTCCGGGAACCGTTTTTGTCGATCGAGCACGTGGTGGGTGAAGAAGAACTGAGAAGATGAGTGAGAGAAACGAAAATAGAATAAGCCAGCCCAGTAGCATCAAAATGTTTGATGTTTTGTGTTTTTTCTCGAAAAGAAACATCTAAAAAAGAGAATTTCACATTTTATGTCTTACTGCATATTTAGATTTTTCGGTTTTTTTCTTCAAATCGTTTCCGATGTTTTCTGAGAGAGATATGTACCGAAACGTCCAAGACCGTATTGTTAAAAACTCCCGATGGAGGTCAAATACACACTCTGCACAGTGTCTTTCTCTCTCCCTTTTTCGCTCTCGCTCTCTTCCAACACACAGAAGAAGGACCATGAAAAGGGTCTGACCTCATATATGCGCTCTTCGTCCTCTTTTCATCAACATATTATCTTTCTACTTGCCCTTCTTTTTTTTACTATTCTTTTTTTCACCCTTTCTCTGCGCCCTCTTCCAGTCCGGTTTGCGTGTCCTGTCAATAGCACGTGCTGTCTATTTTCTCTCGTTTCTATTCTGCCCTCCCATCATTCGGTTGCACGGCTTGTTCTCTAGTGTGCTCTTGCTCTTACATACTATTTTTCTCGACACTTTGATGAAAAAGCCGGGGCACCTTTCTGTGCAGCCACCAACTGTTGTTGATCAGAAGAATTTGTGTTGCTCCCGTTTTTCCCAGGAATAAAGCGCTTACGTGGTTTGAAATTGAAGGCTTAGTGGGCCAGATGATGATGAGAGAATAACGGCGGAAAGAATAATAAACATAAAAATAATGAGCATGAGGAATAAGGTCCCATATGTCCTTCTTGATTAGTGTGGGAGACATACAACGTATAATTATTATTATCTATTTTGCAAAAATGTCAAGAAACATGTAATTATAAACAATTTTCAGAGACTCCTTCATGTTCACAGCAGAAACCAACCCTTCTCAAATTGAAATATTAAGCCATACAGGTTAGTGGTTAAACATTTATTTGCAAAATTCTCTGACAAGAATGATTAAAATTCGTTTTGAGCCGTAATAAATAAGAGATAATCTTAGTTTAGGGCAACTTAAAAAACCTTTAAAAAATTAGAAACATTTTTCAGAACAATGCGTAGTGTGTGGCGATGCAGCCGACGGGTTTCACTATGGAGTACGGTCCTGTCGAGGTTGTAATGCATTTTTTCGACGAGCGGTGACTTTCAACATGAGTTTTACGTGTAGGAGAGGTGGAAGATGTCCAGTTGATAAAAGTGAGTTTTTATAGTTGACAAAATACTTCAAAATGTCGTTAGAAGACTACTTGAAATTTTCGGAAATCTTTTCTAACCAAAACGCGAGTGTCCATTGGGAAGGAATCGAGGAGTGTGCCTGAATTACATATAATTTTTGAACTATTGTTCTTAAACTTAACAAAAATGCTTAACTTTTTTTAAATTACAAAATTTCCAATCAGAAATGTACTAAAATACGCGAAAATCAGTAAAATTTGAGTTCTCGCTGAAATCTTTCCAAGTTTTTTTTTGTATTTTTGTTCAATTTATAACGTTAGGCTCAAACATAGCTTTATTTCCACTGGAACACCCACATTTTGGCACCACATTCAAAATTTTGTCATAAAATCTGTATTAGAAGGTCCGACCGTTCCATTGTTCCAAGGCACCTCCAAATGCCATTTTATTACAGGAACCCTTCAATTACAGGGCCCTTCTATTTTTCCATCCATTTTTGACGAATTGTCGTCATGGAATAATTCGGCAATTTTTTGTTAAAAATTGATGAAAATTTAAATAAAGTGTTCAAACAATTTTCTGTGAAATTGTGAAATTTTCGGAATGCTTTTCTGGTGAAAACGGACGGAAAAATTTTTTTCAAAAAAAAAAACATTTTGAAGATGATCTTTCTATTACAGGAACACTTCAATTTCTCCAAACCACCTTTGAAGGGCCCTTCTAACACAGGTTTTATAGTAAATCCCTTTATGCTAAATCTCCTGAATAGTTTAGTGACCTAAAACGTTGAAAAACTGTGAATTTCTTGTTTATGATTTTTCGAATGAAAAGTTCGAAAACCAAAATTTTCCAAAAAGACGAGACATGATCAACTATCACTCGAATACACTAGTCGAAAACATCATTTTATATGTTGCAATAAAATAAAAAATGAAAAAAAAAACCAGAATTTGTTTTCATTCTGTCTTCTTGTATCACTTCTACCATTTTCTGTCATTTTGTCTATCTGATAAAACTCCCATTCAGAATTATAAACAAAACTAGTTGTAGGCTAAATGTATACAGTAATGCATCATGGTTGATTTATTCAGACGCTCGATGTGCTTGTCGAGCTTGTCGTTTGGCAAAGTGTTACGCTGTGGGTATGGACAAAAAAGCGGTTCAACCAAAACGAGAAGTGGTCACATCCAACGGATCCTTTGATCAGAACGATCAGGATTATGAGCGGTTAGGTGGAACTACTGTAAGTTCTGACAGAAGAAGGGATAAGTTTTTCAGTATACATTTTTCAGACATCACCAAACTACGATCTTAGTGATATGACATCTCCCGGTTCCGCGTTCACCCCTTTAGCCATCAATCTGGGTGTGAGTTTTGTACGTTTGTTTCTGTCGCCTATAATCTCTAACATGTTCTGTTGCTTCACTATATAAAATTTTCAGGATTTCATCCCTGCAATTCCTGCATCCCCTCCCAGCGACGCTTCAGTGATAGTCAGACAAGTGTACGATTTTGCCGAGCAGAAACGGAGGAGGAGAGCAATGTTATGTGGATCTTTAGAAGAAATACTATCGGAACAAGAGATGACACTAAAACAGCCAGCTACCTCTGAAGATTTTTCGAGGATATTCCAAGCACAAATGGTTTTAATGTTTGAATGGGTGGAAAAACTACCAGAGTTTCGAATGTTATGTGATCATAATGATAAGGTATGAAGGAACAATGAGGAATCATATCTAAACTTGAAATAGTTTTCAGACTAAACTACTGAGAGCATTCGCATTGAAATATATGCTTCTGGATAATGTTTACCACACTTATGAGCTTGGATATCGAGACAGGGTACATTTTTCAGTATTGAAAAGTTGCATACATGCAAATAGGCATGGTCAGAGTATTCCGTTAACGTTTCCAGTCTTTTCAACAAATTTTCAAAGTCAATTAAAAAATAGTCAGAATGTTTTGTCAAATAATTGGCTCGCCAAGAACGGAGTGACATCAAGGAGTCTTTTTCACAAAAAAAATTGAAAATGTCTCTGAAATTTCAAAAAAAAAAAAAAAAAAAACTTTCAAATGAGGAAAGTATGACCCACTGGGCTCGGATCTGATTTTTTAAGTACATGAATCTGACCTCAGGCAATATTTTTTCAGCTAGTGCTAGTCAACAATAACTACATTGTTCCCGGCTCCCCAGTAGATTTGAAAGGATGCGATGTGGTGGATGAAGTCTCTATAAAGGATATGTGAGTTTGAAACGTTGATATTTCTGTGAACCTAAATATTTTATTTTAAAGGATTTGGGGTCAGCGGATGCAAAACCTTATTAACGACTTGGTCGGTCCGATTGGTCAACAAAACATGATGTATGGAGAGATAATGACGATACGAAGAGTGATGTTCTGGAATCCAGGGAATGTTCAACTTTCGGAAATGGCAAAAGCTCTGTCGGCAGAAGCGAGGCGTTAGAAGCTTTTGTTAAGATGAAATTTTGAATTTCAGGCGTGCAACGTGGCAATGAAGGAGCTCCAGCAGTATTTGTTATCAGAAGGTGTAGACGATATTGAGGCTAGGATACAGTTCCTACTTTTGTTGGTGCCAGCGTTTTCGGTGAATTGTTTACTTTAAAAAAATTAAATCTGAAAAGACAGTAGCAAAAAAAGCATAATCAAACTGCCATATGATCCACTGTACATAGGAATAATCATACCTGTGAACCGGATATTTTCCGGGATTTCACAAGCCCTGCCATAGTTTCTTTGAGAATCAGTATTTTTGGATCATCCGGAACTCAAAAAGTACTACAAAATGATACTGATTGGGAAACTGTATCTTGCCTATTAACAAAGTTACAGACGGAACAAGTTTAATAAACAGACCCGGTCACTTCATAGCTTGTAACTTTGTTCATAGACAAGATACAATTTTTTTAAAATAGTATCGTTTTGTAGTATTCATCGAATTCTATGATATCTATTTTGATTGGTGTAAAAGTTTTTGGTTTTCTATAACCCTATTATTTGGAGCTAGAAAAAAATAGTCTGTAAAAAAATTTCTGTCATTCCACATGTACTACAAAGTTCCTTGGAAGCAATGTACCCTGAAAACGAAATGTATCCTTTTTTGAAGTACACTTGGGATCAGAGACCTATTTTGCATTTTTATACTTCCAAAACCCATTAGATTTCTTGAATCTCTTCTTTTTTTCTAACTCATTCTTATTCCTTCCTTCTTTCAGGCTCACCACAAGACTATGTATGAAATCGTGAGGCTGATTCCATCGTTTGGCAAAATGAGCGATTGGAACAGTTTCATGGAGGATGTCCTAAATGGAGTGTGACATGCCACGTCACTAATTATTCAAATGTATTATTCATATGTATACTTTTTCGTCTTTTACGATGCCTTTTTTTATAGCCAAATGTCCTTGAAAACCTCCAAAAATGCTCAAATTTTCCAGTTGTAAGGTTCTAACAAATCAAAACTTTTTATCAGAATTGTACCATTGGTGTATTGTTTTTGCTCTGTTGTACTTTCATGTTATCACCCTATTCCAGTCAAAACACAAACTCCCGGCCATATACCCGTTTGAACATGTACATTTTTCTCAACTTCACTTATAAAGAAACAAACTTTCTGAATTTTTTGTGCACTTTTAGGTTACAAGATAGGAGGAAAACAGATGTCAATCAATTTTGTTCCTACTGAAAAATGTGAAAGACGGCTCTTAAAAACAGAGAGATTGATAACACCAACTGTCTTCTGATTCAGAAAAAAAACTCAATTTACCACTTTCAATTTTTTTATCGAGTTAAAATACTTTTCTGGTTTTTTAGTTCAATTTTCAAGTTCTTAGCTATCTTAAAATCGTAATTAATTTTTTTATGTTTAAATAGGGTAAAAGTGATTTTCGAAGTCTTAACTTTGTTTGATTTTTGCATTCGACCAGACATATAATAAATTTTGATTAGCACGAAAAATTAGTGTTACCACCTTGAAAACCCGGTGATAAAAAGGGTAAGTTTGCTTTTCGAAACCCCTTTTCCACTCTTGATAAGATTCTAGTTTCCTAATTTTTCATTTGCCAGAAACGAACTAACAAGGCAGGTGCCGTGCCCACTGCACCAACAGAGAGGTCTCTACTGGTATTGTGGTTGCGTCTCTTCGCCTCGTGTTGTCTCTCGTCTTTTGTATTTTTTGATCTATTTGGTGGCGGGCATAAAAGGGCCCACCATTGGAACACTGCCATTTCTCCCTCACTATTCTTATTGTATTCGATAATGAAGGTCGGTTCCTCTCTGTCAGTTTTTTTTCTGATTTTTTTTCATTTGTTTTCTCACGTTCTTGTGCGTTGGCATGTATGAAACTGTTTTTGGAACTGTTTTTCGTAAATTCGATAATTTTTTTTTCAAATTTTTGGATGTTTTTGCTCCCGAAACAAAGTTTATTTCCAGAAGATGTTGCTTCATCATCTTGCCATTTTCACATTATTCGTTACCACCACCGCGTTAATCGACTGTTCCGAGGAAGACACATGCTTTGGAGAACCGTACGATTGTGATCCGGAAACTCAATGCAACTCGCTCTTTCACTTTGACACCGCTGGAAACTTGCACCTGTATCTTCGAAACTTCACTGATTCGTACGGATACGCCGCGTTTGCTACTCAAACTCACCCGGACGAGATCATCGAGTACTTCATTTGTCTGCCTCACCAAGGACAACGTCTTCGTGCGCTCGCTGAGCTTGGAGGAATTGTTTTGGTAACTGATCAGGTTAGTTAGGGTAGTGATTTGAAAATTGTAAGATATGTCTTACATATAAAAATGTTTGATTCATCACAGGTGTGGTTACCGTAAAACCTGTGATAGAACTTCCATTTTCAAGTAAATTGTTCTAGGTTCCTGTGAAAGATATAAAAAGGTTGTCAACTGATAAATTCTTTATAATTATATAATAAGTCTTCTGTCAGTTGACATATTTTTGATATTTTGCATAGTAATCCAAATAAATGATGTTAAACCTGACAGTGCCGCAATAAACAAAAATCGTCAAAAGGAATGATAAAAAAATTAAATTTCGGAGAGGGAAAAATATCTGAAATCTTTCCGAAATCTCAATTTTTCTTTTTTTTTTCAGAATCTGACTGGCGTTGTTGAGCTCCTTGGCGAAAACTATTTCCGATGCATCTTCAACGTGTCCGAGCTTCCAAAACAATTCCAAAACGAGCAGATTTTCTTCGTCTCCAAAGGAACATTTGATGAGACCCTTGTCATTTACGACGGTGAACAACTGTTCAACCTAGATCGCTTCGAGGATAGCGATGAGGATTTGGAAGACAACGACGTTCTTCCTGTGGCTTATCAAATTTCATCCAAAATCCATCATCGTTCCATGGAAGATGTGCTTAGCTCAGACGACAAAAACACCATGTCCGATGCTATCAATAATCTTCCCAAGTCTTCTTCAAAGAGCAAAGATGATGTTGAACTGGAAAAGATTGCTCGTTCTTCCAGACATATTCGTGTCAGACACACTCGTCGCAATGAGGATGAAGACGTTGAAGAAGACGACAATGAGGAGCATCATCAGGTGGGTAAAGCTTTAAGTTTCATAATCTCCCCAACTGTCTTCCACTTTCGTATGAAAATTCTAGTTGTAAGTCAATCCATAACGTTCTAACATTTTTCGGAATTATTAGGGGATTCGGTCATTTTTATACTTGCAACGGGCCGGGCCGGGCCGGGCCTTCCAAAAATTGGTCAAGGCCCGGCCTGACCCGGAAGGCCCGGCCAGTTGGCACCAGCTTCGATTTTTGGGCTTTTTGCCGTGTGTTTTTTTGGGAAAAAGTTGTTTTTATCATCTAATTTTAAGCTAAATTGTAAATATTGAATTTGAAAATGTTTAAGCAAATTTTTGAAAAAAAATTTTTTTTCGTGAATTTTTCCAAAGTTGATATCGAAGAAAAAGTTGTATTTTGAAGCAAAATAGCAGTTTTCTCTCGAAAACTGGTTTTTTTGTTAAAAAATTCGCAAAAAATTATCAAAAAAAATTTTTTTTTGAGAAATTTCGATCAAAAAATTTCTTGTCCGGGCCTTCTGGGCCGGGCCGGGCCTTTAACGACTTTTGCGAGTATGGTCATTTTGACCGTTCTCAGAAGTCTGAAGCTCGGCTGTAAAATTTCGGACTACTTTGAAAATTTCGGAAGGTGTAAAACAGACCTAGATCGAAATGTTTACATTTACAGAATTTTTTGAAAATTCCTAGTTTTCGAGCTATTGACTGGTTTATGAAATACAACCCTTCATTTCACGTTTTGTACTGGAAATGAAAAAAAAACAGGTGTCTTCAGAAATCGGCCACTAGCTGAAACACTAAAAAATGTTTTAAAAGTTATGTAAATGCAAAGTTTTTAGTCTAGGTCTGTTTCAAGCCCTTCAAAATTTTCGAAGCGATCGGCCGAGGTCCAGACTTCAGAAAATTGTCAAAATTGCCAAAAAACAAGTAAGAAAAATACGTTTTTAATTTTAAGGAATCATTCTTAAATTTTTAAAATGTATTTTCCAGAGACATCACAAACTCCACCGTGCTCATAAACAGGAAGAGTCGTTTGATGCTGAGAATTCCGACATTCCAAAAAGCAAAAAGGGAAGACGTCACCACGACGAAAAATCCCAGCCACGTCATAAACATTCCAAAAAATCAGTTATTGAAGAGGAAGAATACGATAATCAAGAATATGCTGACGACGAAAATGCCGATGCAAGCAACAACATCAATTATTCATTTGCCTGCGTGATTATTGCTGGATTGTTGCGTTATCGTTTTTGAATAACCTACTACAGTACTTTCACTTTTGAAATAGCCAGTCCCTGTGGTTTCTTGTCATATTCTTGCTCTCTCATCCATTCAGTTGATGTGAAATGCTAATCTCGTTGGTTTTCACGGGTCTCCCTTTGCTCCAAAACTTCTATTTCCACAAAGTGCTTTTGATAGGTTTTTTTTGGTTTCCAATAAATTTAAAATACACTTGTTCTCAAGAATTTTGGATTTTTGCTATTCCAAAAATCTTTTCTTTGGTTTTTTTCTTGTTGGTTTTCTACCGTCCATTGATACATTTAGGGAACATAATGAGCACTAATAAATCTCTCAAAAAAAAAAACAAAAAGAAATCCGTCGAGCCGGATTCGAACCAGCGACCTAAGGATACCCACTGACTCTACAGTCCTCCGCTCTACCAACTGAGCTATCGACGGCACGCTTTCACATATAACATTGGAGAAATATGTGTGTGGCGCCAGCGGTATTTTTTCACATGAGAGACGGAGGAGAGGCAAGTCGTCTGCCGGAGGCAATGTGCGCGCGTGTTTCTTTTCCCTCTCCGGTTTTCATGGAATTTCTTTTTTTGAGTGTGTGAAGAGAGCAAAAAAGAAGTAAAAAAAAGGAAAGTTTACATTCATCAAGAATTTGAATACGGAAAACTTGTTCATAATCAGTTTCTTAATACTGTGGTAACAACTGACAAGTATATGGTTTTGAGGTCATCACAACTCCCCAATCCGGTGACAGATCAATATTGGAAGTTGGGACAAACTCGTATTTCTGAATCAAAGCGCTGAAAATCAAGAACAACTCCATACGGGCCAATCCTTCTCCAACACAGTTCCTTTTTCCTATACTGAATGGAATTGTTTTCTCTAGCACCGCCTGGAAAAAACATTTTCCAAAGTTCATAGTATCAAAAAAACTTACCTTATCAAATGTTTTCCCGTCAGACTGCAAATATCTATCCGGATTGAATTCACTGGCATCTTTGAAAACCGGGTCATTTTTCATCACCGACCAGATTTGAGCGAAGACTAATGTTCCAGCTGGCACATGCTTCCCTTTGATTGATGTCTCTTCTACACCTGGAAAATGGGAAAATTTAGATTTCTATGTAGTTGACATTGGGAACCCCTTACACTGATGAGACCCCAAAAATGGAAGCATGTTTGAACATCTTTGAACTTCATGAATAACTGCTTGGGTGTATGGCATATTAGGTTTATCAGACATTGATGGCAAACGAGATGTTCCAACAACTTCGAAGATCTCTTTACGGACTTTGTCTTGGATTTCAGGGTACTTCATCATATAGGCAAGATGCCATCGGAGAGAATTAGAAGTTGTTTCCATACCAGCCAACCAGAAGTCGAGAACAGAAGCGCAGAGGTTTTTGATACTGAAAATAGCTCGACTTGGCAACTGGAAACGGGAAAATAGACTCACTCTAATCCAGGATTTCCTGTTTGTTTCATTTGCTGCATGTAAGCATGGACAAAGTTTTCCGGCTCGCTTACACCGTCATATTGTTTGACTTGGGTTGTGACCTCTTCTTCAATGAAAGTTTGATACTGAAATTTCATAATAACCATACAGACACCATGAAATTTATCAAATGTAGAATGACCCCTAACAGTCAAGTTTGAGCTCAATTTTCTCAATCTCAATTTCTAAGCAAGATATCAAGAATGTGCCAACTAACATAACACTTCTCATATTATGATAAACAATTTGTCAGTTGATAATTTTTTCTGGCTTTCACAGAAACCGAGAAAATTTGACTCAAAGTTGGAAGTTAGGAGATCCTTCTACTACATGTTTTATGAAATTCTAAGTTTTTGATTACCGAGGAAATGTTATTTTTAATGTTATGATATCCAATGTCTCCTATAATTGGCAAATGTCGAAGCCAGGGAAAAGCAGAAACAAGAAGAGGCATCGTTCCTTGAAGATGTCTCAAATGTTTATCCACAATTCTCACAAATGTCTTGAACTTTTCAGAGTCTTCATATTTGTAATGAAAACCGAACAATGTTTCATTGATCACATTTCCAACGCAAAGTTGAATCGGCCAGAACATGTCTACTTTATTCTTATCAGTGATGTTTTCAATTTGAACCATCATTTCCTGAACCGATCGTACCACCTGTTCTTCCATCAAATTTCTCCCGAGTCCGAAGTCTCTGAGAATTTTGAGAGATGTTCTGCGTTGAAGTCTCCAATGATCTCCATCAGATGCCAGGATTCCAGTGTGGTCGTGTACAGGAAGTAGGGTTTCAGGAGAGCGATGAGCACGATAAGTGAAGGTGTCGCCTAGAACAGAATTTAGTTTTTTAAAAGATTATGAGAATTCGGTCCTTACCTTGAGTAACAAATGCTTCTTTCACATGTTCATAGTCATTGAGAACAATTGCAGGGTATGGTATCCAAACTGTGAAACATGGTCCGTAGATTTTTGACATTTCGTCAAAATAGAGTTGGACATGATCAGGTGGGAACTGAAACCAAATTTTTTCGTTCATTAAAACAATACCTCAATTAACACGATACCTGATGAATATTTCCAATTAATGGGAGTGGAAATGGTCCTTTTGGGTATTTACTAACTTTCCAGTAAAAGTGAACAACATACAATACTAAAAAGACAAGCACTGCTAATATAAAGACAGACATCAGAATTTCGAACTGAATCCACCCAGAAACTTTGGTCAGGGTTTATAAAGGGTCTTTAAATTTGATAAAAATTGCGTCATTGTTGACAAATGCGTTTGACCTCGACCAGCCTATTTTTTGGACACAATGTGGTTTGTGAATTGAGTGACTGTTTGAACTAGACTGTCGGGAACAATGGGAAAGTTGTTTATTGCTCAAAAATAAGAGTGGTCGTGTGGGTGGTACAAATTGTTTCGTACAATAGGAGCAAACTATTTAGTTTAACATTCTGTTCGGTATGAAATTGCCGAGTTGATTTAAAAAATCAAAGTTCGTTTGAAATATTAAGACGACACAAATTAACACAAAATGGTATGCCCAGTTTGCATATTTTTACAATGAGGTGTTTGATAACTTTTATCATTTGACGTTCTCTCAATCTTTGAGTTGTGTTCTTTCGATACACACTCACGATCAATTAGTGTACAGGGAAGTAAGTCGGTTGAAAACAAGATTTATATACTTACAAATAATAGTATAAGTATTAGATTAGTAGAGATACAACAACAAAAATCATCTTATGATTGTAACAAAGGAAAGAAATTACAATGTAATTCCAAAGATAAGAATAATTCACTTCACGAAATAATATAAAGTTTGAGGAATCAGTTGATACGTATAAGGTTTGGAAGTGAGCACAGCTCCCCAATCTGGTGACAAATCAATGTTCGAGTTTGGGATAAACGCGTAAGTCTGGATCACAGCGCTGAAAATCAAAAACAACTCCATACGGGCCAATCCTTCCCCGACACAGTTCCTTTTTCCTATACTGAATGGAATTGTCCTTTCTAGCAGTGCCTTAAACAAGTATTGATTATTCAAATTCGCAAACAAGCTCTTCTTACCTTGTTTAACATTTTTCCGTCAGCTTGCAAATACCGACTTGGATTGAATTTGTGATTCTCTTCGAATACCGAATCATCATTCATAATTGACCAGATCTGACCATAAACTACTGTTCCTGATGACAAGTTCACTCCTTTCACAGTGATATCTTGGTTATCTATAAATCGTTTCTTGTTTTCGATATTTTCATAATTGAAAAGTTACTTTTGTGAGTTCCCAAAAGTGGGATCATATCAGACTGTCTTTGAACTTCATGAATAACTGATTGGGTGTAAGGCATATTTGGTTTATCGGACATTTATGGCAAACGAGATGTTCCAACAACATGTTCCGACATTGTCTTGAATTTCAGGATACTTCATCATGTAAGCGAGATGCCAACGGAGAGAGTTGGAAGTGGTTTCCATGCCAGCCAACCAGAAATCTAGAACAGAAGCACAAAGATTCGGCATAGAGAAACATGAGAACGATAATATTTCTATTATTTTTGAACCGATTCTATCCAGGGTTTCCTGTTTGTTTTATATGTTGTTAGGCATGAACAAAATTATCCGGTTCACTCTCCCCATCATACTCTTTCATTTGACTGGTAACTTCTTCTTCGATAAATTTATGATACTGAAAACGAACCATAGACATTAACAAACGTATTAAAATAACTTACTTGTTTAACGTTCCTCTCAATTTTATGATATCCAAGTTCCCCGATGATTGGCACTTGTCTCAGCCAAGGGAATGCACCCATAAGCAACGGAAGTCGAGCTTGAATCAACCTCAAATGCCGGTCTAAATCCTGGACAAATGTTTTGAACCGATCAGCATCACATATTTGTGATGGTATCCGAACAAACTCTCATTGATTTCCAACACAAAGTTGAATTGGCCAGAACATGTCTACCTTAGTAGTATAAAAAGTCACGCTCTAGCGCAGTTTTGGGCCCGCCTCTAATAATTACCACTTTTGTCAAAATTTCATATCAATCTCCAAGGATAACCTAATTAATCAATCAAAAACGACCTTTTAAAATCACCCCCTATTTTCCCGAAAATTCCTCGGGCCCTCCATCAGATGGTCAGCGCTCCTTTAACGCTCTGTCAGATTATCGTCGGCTCTCCGTCAGCCTATTGCCACCTCTCCACCACGGTTATATCCTCCAGTATACCTCAAGTCTCTCCACTACGGATTCTTAACACCTTAAGGATCTCTACCACGAGTTTATCACTTACCCAGTTTGTCTTAACTTTGGGCGATTATCCAGAACATGGGGACGTTCAGTATCTTGATACTTAGCCATGAACCCCAAACATGGCATCTACACTTATGCAGCTTAACTTTGAGTGGATATCTAGCACCTGGGGGACGTTCAGTATCTTGATACTTAGCCATGAACCCCAAACATGGCGACTGTATGCATGCCTACAATCTTAACTTTGTGCGATTATTCAGAACTGGGGGACGTTCAGTGTTGCCAGCCGCTTCACTAGAGAGTGAATTTGACAACACCTTAGCCATGAACCCCAAACATGGCGTCTGCACGCGAGCAGCTTAACTTACGTTCAATGAGTAGAGGAAGAGTTCCTGAGAAGTTGCATTTTTTTTTTTGAGCAGGCTTTTTTTTTTTATTTTTAGAGAAGTTTTTTTGAATAAGATTTTTAAACAAGAGAAGTTAGGGGGCGTGTCCAAATCTTGTTCGGTTCATAGTTAGTGACGTAAAGGGGTTCACCTGCTACCACGGAAATGTGGAGCTGAGCAATGAACTGCCTTATTGGTGTTAAAGGGATTCACCCGCTACCACGGAAATGTGGAGCTGGGCAGTGAATTGCCTTTGGAGGGATCCGCCCGCTATCACGGAAGTGTGAAGCAGGGCAGCGGACTGCCTCGAACACAAGAAGTTGTCAAAAACGAGAACCGAACTCGAGTGGAACAGGGTCATGGCAAATTCTCTTACCACCTGAGCCACACGCCCTTATCAGTATGCACACCATATTCAATATAAGACATGCCTAGGCACCGCAAAAAAAGGGGAGAAAGTCAGTACATGGAGGTCTGGTACAAAAGGGTCTGTAACTCGGGATTGAATAAAGATTTTTCGCTGAAATTTTGGGAACAGACTTCTATAAGATGGGAGAAGACAATCCAACAATAAAAACTGTGAAAAGTCTATTATGAAAATTTTTTTGTGGTGCCTAGACATGCCTCGTTATCACTGTTTCCAAGAGCACAAACTACAAAATGGGCAGAGTTCACAAGACACAATAACTGCTCAATGTAAATGCTCTCAGAGTTCAGGAAAAAATTGAGACCATTAACAGATGTAGATATCTTAAAATTAACAAAGGATTTACATATTAAAAATTTTAGAGGGGTATATATGCGCGATAGTCTTCCTGATGAACCGCAAAAAAATGAAGTTGCCATCGTAAATCTTGATAATAAGGAAGGCAAGGGAACTCATTGGGTTTGTTATAAGAAGGATATGCACAATCTATATTATTTCGACTCTTTTGGTCTGGACCCTCCCGACGAATTAGTCAGATATTTGAAACAAAACAACCAAGATTCCCAAATTACACTTTCCACCTTTCAAATTCAAAACTTTGATACTCATCATTGTGGCTATTATTGCCTACTTTTATTGAAACTGTTGGAAAAATATGATTTCAAAAATGTCATAATAAATTTGATTTAAAAGTTTTCAAAATAGTTTATTATGTTGAAAAAATTATGTAATAAATGAACTTCAATCAATCTCAGTTATTTGAATCTCCGCGCAATATAATTGTCTTAGGAAACACAGGAAGTGGTAAATCATCCTTTGTTAGACATGTTATTTATCAAGAATTTTTAGCTGGAAGGGGCTTTGACTATATCTTTTTAATCTGTGCTACAAAAACGGAAACAACAGAAAATGATTCATGTAATATAGTTTTCAAAAACCATCGCATAGTAATTGATGATAAATATCCAGTGGATGAGATGATAAACAATTTCAAAACATGGGGCGAAGAAAACGTAAAAAAAAGTAAGCTAGACGGCAAACCCCTTCCTAAAGTATTAATTTTATATGATGATGTTTCTAAATTCTTAAAAAATAAGATGAAAGGATTTGGGGATATCAGTAGACATTTTAATATGTGGAATATGTTTTTGGTTCATAGAACAACATATCTTGATGCTGATACTAGAGGATCGTGTAGAGTTTGGATTTTCTTATCTGAGGTAGATAAAAACATAGATCCATTTGTATCCAAGTATGCCGATAATAATAATTTCGATAAATGTGTGTTAATATATGATACAACAGCACATGGTAGTAAAAATGAACAGATTTCTTATCTAAGAAAATCTGATGTAAAATTGAATTATAATTCTGATATTATTTTAAACAATACATCGGGAATTGATAAGGAAGTGGCTGCTAACTTTTTCTATAATCCTGAGGCCATCGACACTACTGGGTTTAGTGAAGAGGAATTTGCAAAATGGAAAGTATTTCTAGCAGGCTTCAAATCACTTAATCTTAAAATAAAACTAAAAGATCTTCTTCAAAGACCTGATGATAAATCTTCGATTCCAATAGAACGGAAGACATTAGTAGAACGCGAAAAACCATTTGATAGTCGGATGAATTTCATAAGACCTAATGTGAAGTTTTCGATTCCAGAAGAAGAAGCTTCAACTTCAAGTGAAGAAAAAATATATGCTGATTCTCCATCAGAATACGAATCGGAAACAGATGATCGTTCTTCAGTTGAATCGATAAGTGAAATATTGAGTAGGATTCACAACTAATTTTTGATTCGATAGTGTCCAAAAGCTAGGGAGTTTATGTTATCTACAAAATATCTTTTAGTCTCCTTATCCTTACCAATTATATTATTTAAGACAACTTTATTTTGTCTTACACTACTAATTTCATGTTTGCTGGAGGAAATAAGCGTTTGCTGTTTTCTTTCAATCGTTCTATTTTCTAAACAATTTTTATAATCATTGAAAGTCATTTCCTTTTTGACTACAGACTTTTTTATTCCTTTATTCTTCTTTTGTTCTGATCCATCATCAATTTTGAAAGCATATTGCTTAGGTCTGAAGGCAACGATCTCAGTCATTATTTTGCCATTCAACTCATCTTTGAACTTACCAATTACTTTTTTGTTCTCAATACTATACAGCTTATTGTCTGTAGGATAATCCGAGAAATCAAAATGCTCTTTCATAGACTGCATATCTTCATAAACATCATCAGTTTTAATTTCATAGATATAAGAATCAGTATCTTGATAACACAATCTCAAATTCGAAGAATATTTTGGAAGCATAACATCGTAGTGAAACTCGTACATGAGATACTTACTTAAATCAAGAATAGACATCCCAACATAAATAGGCTTGTCTAATTTAATACTTTTCTGAGTCATTTCCACTAAAATCAAATTGTTGTTCACAATATGTCTCTGTTTGAAATTATTGCTACCAGCCAGTTTCATAACTTTATCCATATCTGTCACTACTTTAACATCCACTCTATGTCTAACGTTCTCCATAGTTTTACCAAATACAGAATTGTTCATTAGCTTGAAAAAGTCTTTCTCAAATTCGTTCTTTGCTTTCTTTCTCAAGTTGGTATTTAGTTCTATATAAGAGGCAAGCCAATTGCTTTCTTTGAAAGTAACTACACGATGAATTTTCTTTAACACCAAACCCTGCTGAATAGCTTGCAAAAGGTTTTTATAATGAATCACATAATTTCTCTTTGGACTAAAATCATTGATTAATTTATTGGTAGTTCCAACTCGTTTATTCTCTGAACAAAATGGTAAATCGTTGTGTTTGTCATGTAGACTATCGGGATAATCTAAATCAACTTCAAGTATACATCCCTTTCCTTGAGAATTAAGATTTTCTATCATTTCCATACAGAAATCTGCAGCATTTATAAATTCAAATTCATCATAAGGCAATTTTTGACTCATCGCCCATCCATATAAGTTATTTGCATCTAAATAGAGTAAGTATTTTGATTCCTCTTCGGGATTATAATTTGGCATGTATTTGTTATTTGCCTTAGAATATCTGAGCATAGCATTGCACATTCCCCCTCGAATACCTTTCTCAATTAAGTTATACATTTCAACATCCTTGATAGTCTGTAACTTAACACCAGTCTTGTATAGCATTGCATCCCAAGCTAATCCTGGAGATGTATAGTACCAACACGGATCTAGCTTATATTCTTTGAGAGACACATTTCTAAAAGTTTCAAAAACATCTGCTAATAGTAACACATCGTTAATCATATAAGTTCTAGTGTAGTCTTCTAAAGTTTGACAACTCATATCCTTCCACACTTGCTGAGCGTATTCGTAACTCTCATTGCTGATTGTTTCTCCGGATAAACTGTTATAGAAGTCTTCAATCGGAGGAAGTTCCGTGTTGGAATATTTTTTAAAGGAATCCATAAAATCATATGGGTAGACACCTTTTCGCCTCATTAGATGGAACAAATGTTCGTTATTGTAATACTTTTTTGTGATAATGCATTCATCATCCTCTAAATTACCACTGAGATAGTCCAAACTGGAAGGCATGAATCCCAAACTATCTAGGAATCTTATTTCATATTTTTTACGATCTTTATCATGAAAATGATAGCTAAAACTTATAAACTTTTCAATGTTAGCCGAGATGCTTTTAATTTCTACACCTCGTTCCTTTAATAATTCACTCGACTTGTCATCACTGATAATCAGATGAGAATCGTATCCTTTTAGATTATGGAAGAATACTGGTATAAAATTATTTCTACGTTTCAACAAGTTACATGCATTGCAAAGAGGTCCTCTGTATAATCCAGTCCAATGATCGTGATCTCTAACTTTATCCCCGCAAAACTTATTTCCACAGGCGGGGCATGATTCACAACTATGGAAAGACTCAACTTCTTCAAAGGTCAATTTTTGCATTCTCCTGTCAGCGATGCTTAAGAGTTTTTCACATACTTCTAGAATATATTCATTAAACTTTAAAATTGTGTCGTAGCCAATATAGCTTTTCATGTCATAGATAGTATTAGTGAAGGAATCGACAACGACTACACAGAAGGCAGAAGCCACATGTTTGCCAAAATTTTCGTTCCATGACTCGCTGGGTGAACGGCTCACATTATCAATTTTATAAATAACAGATTCAAAATCAGCATAACAAACATATCTCTGTTTTTGAGTTTTCTGAATTCCATCGAACTCAATATAATCTTTCGAAGGTTTGATCATTTGGAGTGGAGAATTATTCATACAGTCGCTCAAATGGTTTTCGTATTTTTCTTCACTGTAAAAGTTATTATGACATCTGATGCAAAATTTATTTCTTGTGCCATTTTTGTTATTCATTAATCTATCTATATTCTTAATTAAACAATAGTGTCCTTCTCCAGAATTGTCGGTGACTAACAAAAGATTAACTACTCTATCTACGTCTACATTAACCTTCTTAGAAACTTTGTATGAATTTATTTTTTCATCGTCTTCAACATTATGAACCAGAATATTGATAGCCAAGTTATTTCTTTTCTCGAATTTATCCACATCTTTAACCTGGAAAGGAAAATCAAACCCATCAAAGTTGACCTTAGAAACATAATCGTTATATTTACTAACTCTGTTAGGGTCCCGTTCTACTGGAAACAAGTGTGCTAAGATACACCACATGAAACACTTATCATCTTTATTTTTTATATTGATTACTGCTTTTTTATTTTTGATCCAATCAGGTAGTTCTATATACTTTGATCCTGATAATGATCTGATTCTTGTCTGATACATTCTTAACCCTATGATTCTATTTAGTCTGAATCCAGATCCTCTACCTTGATGTTGTTGAAGTCTATTTATCAAATCTAATTTCACTGTTTCGTAAAACGATTTCCTGTTCTCTCCTTTATGTAATGCCTTACTAGTCGTAGTCAAATGATCTAAACGAGCTTCCTCTGTTCCTTCTTTTTTCATTTCACATGATAAAGAGAAATATATTTTTACACTACTATCCTTATAAATGTCTTTAAAGACGTCACTTTCCTTTTTATTTAGGAACGATTGAATATTATTAGAGTTTCCTGTGTGGATAGTATCCCTCAAAACATCGCCAACTTCTTTGTATTCACTAAAAACAGTTTTATCAAAAGGAAACAACTTTCTCAATTGATAATTCGATTCCCTATTGATAGCATCTTGGTTTTCTTGATTTTGTTGGTCAGATAATCTCTCGAGTTCTTTTAAGATATCTTCTTTTTTCATAGCTCTAATGTTCGCCTTGTTCATTGTTTTCTTAGAGCCTAGAACAGCTCGTAGTTGATCCCTGGTTAGTTTACTGTAATCTTCTACTTCCATTTATTAGCTAAAAATACTCACGATTATTTTAATATACTTTTTAACTAATAAATGCACTCGATTCTCGAAATTTATGACCCTAAAAAGAGAAACGACATAGTTCAGAGCTATTTGAAAAACCGAAAAGAGCACAAAGTTAAAAACCTACAAGAGCGTTCAGACTTGGAACATATAGAAGATCATAGAATAGATGTATTTAAACCAATTTTAGAATCAAATAAAAAGCTTCAAGAAGAAATAATTGATGAGAAAAACAAAATAGTTGAAACTCTGAACAACTTCAAACCTCTTTCTCAACATTCAATAGGTACACCGACAATAAAACAAAAGAGTCTTATTAAACAACCATCAGTGCATTTACCGAAAGAAATTTTACCTAGTTCATCTTCCCCTCTTGTAGTTAGTAGTCTAATTGTTAGTTATCTTCAAGACAACTCCGATAGAAGTAATGCTGGCTATTCTGTTAAGTTTGACAAAGATGAAAAAAAGTATACTATCGGTAACAAAGATATTACGTTTACCCAGAACATGATCAAGATTAACAATGATGAGTACACTGCAACTGAAGGATTAATGGAGCTCTTAACCAAAAAGTCCCCCAACTTGAAAAAGATTGACGCAGAAGATACAAAAAATTACCAAACAATATTATTATGCTCTAATGGCTTGTATCAGGGGTTTGATAAAAGTAGCAAAAGGTATAATTCCGATTCAAGTGACAAGTGGGCGTTTATAAAAGCTAACTATTTTGTTGCAAAAACTTCTACAACAACATCAGGCAGTTCTATTTCATTCATTCCATCGAATACTAATTCTCTAATCGACTCCTTGAGACTATCCATTGCTTCATTTCAGGCTGGTAACAATGGGGAATATAATAAGATCAATGCCATTCTAGATGAACTAGTGAAACAGAAAAAGATTAAAAAGAAAGACTTGGGAGTAATTTACTTGAATATTGGATTGTAGAATTCAGTAGTAGATTTGATTTAGTGTTTTACAATCTTACATATACCAACACAAGCTTACATATTTATACAGTTTGTTACATAATCTTACACTTATTTTTTCTATACCAACACAATCTTACATATTTTTATGGTTTTTTTACATACTCTTTTACTTATTTTTTCACACTATTTAAATGTCTCAAAAGGTTGTACTGGCTAGAATGTATATAAGTGACCAAGACAAGTCTCCTCTCAGAATTAACAAGAGAAAATGGGTTTTGCAACATAACTTTACTAGAACAACTTTATACGATGGATTAAAAGAGTTAGCAAAAGAGATGGATGTTAGTAAATACTGTTCAAATAAGAACAACCCATCCCCTCAACCTCATGCAGAAGTTAAGCTTAAGATTGCCTCTGAACATAAACTTTCGAATATTGAAAGAAACTCCAATAAAATAAATCTTTTATCACCATTATATTTACCTAGCTTTAAGTCGGAAATTAGTTCAACACCTGTCTGTTGACTTTAGCAAAAAAATTTATTATTTTTATTTTTATAGTATGGTTTGCTATATAAATGAGTAACACAAGAACGTTGAATGATATTCAAACAAGTGATCATAGAAGAATGAAAAAGAAACCATTTAGTGGTGTGGGAAAATCAGTTAGGGGTAGTGAAACTGGAACTATAACTATAACTGAAGAAGATTTTAGAGATGTAGGACTAAAGCAGGCCATCAGTATCCTAGGAGGTGTTGAAAAATGTTTAGACATTGTCGAAGGTGTTTGTAATTATACTCCAGAGCATTTGAATAATATGAGTCAGGCATGTGCTTATTATGCTAACGAATTAATAAATATCGCTAACGAGATTAAATCTATAGAAAACTGTTCTCATAAAAATAATTTGAAGATCAAACTTTTTGCTACATATCAACAGCTTCTGCTGGAGTCTAATATAGATGAAAGACATAATAACCACGAATTGAAAAAACAAGTTCACCGTCTACAACAGTTAGTAATAAAAAACGAAAGTGTTGAAAACCGCGGAAAAGCTTTGCAAAAACTCATTGCAGAGGCAGAAAAACATGAAATCGAAGCGAAACAACGTCAAACTAGATCAAACCCTTCGGATTTTTTTCCCTGTTAAAAAGTTCACAGCTGGTCAGATGGAAAATATAATGACATGTGCAAGAGTACAAAAGGATATTCGAAAAAAACTGAAAGACAATATTAAACAAAAAATCTATGCTAAAACAATACGTGTAAAGCTACCAAGTAAGGAGGAACGCGTGGGGTTACGAATAGTAAAAAAATTAGATGGGCGTTCAACAGTTGATCTTGATACGTTCCAGTGTATCATTGAACATAAAGAGTTCCTAGGTTTCCGAATAAAGACGATAAATAAATACATTAAGAATTTAATGCGCGTCTAAGTTGTTCTCTATCACAACCACCACCTAACTGAAAGTCGGGAATATCTCGATTTATTTTCGTTCGAGTCCTATCAGGAAAGTTTGAACTATTTGTTGGGAAGTCTCTAAGATTTTTACGATTTATTCTCATCTTTCTCCTATGTTCTTCCTCGCGTAATTTTTTATTATTAAGTTCATCTATTTTTCTAGTTTTATTAAATCTATTAGTTTTCCTAGTCATTTTGATTTCAATAACACTATTTGGATAAAGTTTGCAAAAAGGTTTATCATTGCAATAAATATATATAGGCTGAGAACCAGCATAGAATCTGGTTTTAAAATTCTTGTCTATGTCTTCGTATAATTCATCTTCACAGAAAAATGAATGTTTTTTAATAGTTTTCATCACTATAAATGTGTCAGATAGAAAACGGTCCGATGATAGGAAGTAGTAAACGTTTGGATCTTTCTTGAGCCAGTTTTTCCCTAAGTTTTTATAGGCAGCTAGGTGTTTGACTCGACATTCATCATCACACGTATGTTGATGCAAATACATATGTTGTCTATGTGGTCTATATATAAACTTAGTCATTTATTATGTTATCAGCCCGGTGGCTGGTGCACCTTCAGCGTGACTTAATCAATCATCCGGATGTCCTATTCTATGCTCGCAATCTTTAAAAAATGGGTGTTTTTTTCTAGCGTACATATACAAATCCGTTTTCCGTATTCCGTTTTCCGTTTTCCGTTTTCCGTTTTACTTAGCAAAACGGAATAAAACATGTACTTCGATTAGTAAAACGGAAAACGGAAAACGGAATACGGAATACGGAAAACGGAAAACGGATTTTTATATGTTCGCCAGGAAAAACATGTCTAAAATGTGTTCAGAGGACAAAGAAGTACTTCAACATCTTTCTAAACTTTCCGTTGTCCGAGTCACTAGTCTTATCAATAGTAAAAAAGTTATGTTTTTCTTTCCAAATTTCTGTAACCATCTCTAAAAATGTGGGTTTATCCACTTCACCACAGTGATCCCGATAGATATATTCTAAATTCATTTTATCCTGAGAAAAAACGATGAAAAAGTTGGCGTTCTCCCTAATAGTATTTTTCGGTAGTTTTATATAATTTTGTGAAATGTAAAAGCAATCAATGTTGTTATGTCGACCCCTGGTGTAATACTGTTCTATTTTATTCTGTTTTTCGAGCATTAAATCATCGAATATTATTAAAGTTTTTCTATTTGGATCTATAGAGCTGGGATCTGGAATGTCATCACAGTTTTCAGAAATGTGTATAGATATTTCCTTATTTTCTTTTTTGTCAACCATAAAATTTTGCGTTCGAAAACATTCTCTGATTTCTTTTTTACTCAAACCATTCGCAAAACCGTTGATAAGTGCTTGATAGCATGGCTGGAAAAGAGTGGTAGAGAATATGTACAAGTTATCATAATCTAAATAATCTTCCCCACAGTATTCATCTAATAATAAGTTCATTAAAAGATTAGTTTTGCCACACCCAGACTTTCCTATTATACAAGCTCTTAAAGAACTAGGAAGAAGAGGATTGTTGTTCCTTTTAGAATAATAGTTTTGAATCGAATAATCAGTGAAATCAGATTTCATAATTTAGTACTTAATAAATGGTTCACTTATTCTTAAACCTAAAATCCAGCGAAAAAGCGTTTCAACTTGACTTTCCACATGACTTCAAGGTAAACTCTATTGCCATAGTAAAAGTTGAAGGAACATTAGATTGGAATAAGAACAGTTGGATTTATTTGTCTTGTAATCTTATCTGCGATTCGTTTTTGAATGAAGCTCAAAGCAATATAATCTGTAAATTCAATAATAACGACAAAAATGTGAAGTATGAGCCAATCAATTTGATCTACCACAAAGCTGTCAATAATTGCAATACTCTTACATTCAGACTTGTAGATGAAAAGAATAACCTTATTGATTCTAAAACTTGTGATATACATATGGAGCTACACATTATTTAGATTCTCTTAAAACCAGATCCACTTTTAAGTGCCTTCAGAAAATTATTGTTATCTTTAGATATCTTCGATTTGTTTGTGGTTTTTGGTTTTCTAGAGGGAAAAGACTCCTTAGAAATAGCCGTTTCCTCGTTTTTTGTGCTTGGAAATTCTTTTTGAGGGTTTGCATTTTCTATTAATTTTATCTGATTGTTTTCTTTTGGACTATTAATAACATAACTAGAAGTTGAACTTTGTTCTTGGGTGTTAAAGAATCTCATTTAATAAGGTAAAAATTAATCGACAGTGAGAGAATGAATAGATGGACGTTGTATCATTTGTCTTAATTCTACGGCTTCATATTCTCTCCTTCTTCTTCTATTATTTCTCCTATCAATGAAAGTTTTTGGTGAAAGTATCATCCAAATTGATCTTCCTACGAATAAGTACACTACAGCCACGCCAAGTGTTACACCAACTCTCCAAATTCTAAGCCACCATTTTCCAAAGAAACCTTCTACGTCATCTAATATTTCATGGGGTAAAGTAGAATCCTGGTTATTAGCATGAACTTGAATAGAGACATCAGATTTTTCTCGCATTTCTTCTATGAGTTCTTCTTCAATGTTGGTCTTCAAGTCTAACAAAATGTGTTCATGAAAAACTACTTTATCATCTAGGAATTTCAAATCAAACTCTTTGAAGTTTCTCATATTAGTAATGTTAGTTCTAAAATCAATCATGGGATGAAGCTGCGGTTTGCTTGATATGACACCTCCTGAATAATCATTCTTATAATACCAAACTTTATCTCCAAGGCTTTTAATCTTAATTGGGATTTGTCCGAGTGTGAGAGCAAGACTTAATTTATGCCCATCGAAATGAGTAACGTCTATAAAGTCTATCTCTTCTTCATCAATTTCTTTGCAGAAAGTAACTTGAACAACTGGTTCTTGAGAATCGATGAGTTTAACTTTGATAGCTGTATGGTTCAACTGTTTCTGGATATATCTTCTTGGATTTTCTCTGATAAGGCTTTCAAGAACTTCATTCTGTTCATTGAAGATATCACACATAACTTCAGTAGTATGTCGTATTAGATTGTTCGATTGGTTTTCTAGATATTGAAATTCTCCTGCAGCTTGGAAGTCAGAGTATAATTCTCTTTTTCTTCTTAATTTACCTGTTTCGAACATTTCATATTTTGCTATTCTTTTTATAAAGTCTGTATAACTGGGAAATGCATGACAGCTATCTCTGATTGTTTTATATTCCTCGTAAGTCGGGAGAATGTTGCAATCTTCTTTAATACTCAAATATTCTTCGTAGCCGGGGAATGGTAGAGGTCTCCAGGTTTGAGATAAATTCAAGTGTTGTTGATTTTTCTCATAGTTTGCAATGCTGTTGATGAAATTTGTATAACTTGTGAGCGAATCACATCCATCTCTGCTATTCTTGAAAGCTTCATAACTTGGGAGATTGTCACAGTCTTGTTTTATTTTTAAGTATTCATTGTAATCTGGTAGGGGTAGTGGTTGGAAGATTGCTCGATGGTCTGTGATCTCTCTTTTGGTTCTGTTTGATTTTGGTGGATGACGATTATCTTTTGGTTTCTCATCATGAACAGTCCAATCTTCTTCTTGCCGTTGTTGTATTAATTTTCTTACAGCCTCATCCTGGGCTTTCCTAATCTTTTCTTGCTTCTTTTTCTCCGTTTCTTCTTCTCTCTTCAATTTTTCTTGTTTCCTTTTTTCGAAATCTGCTTCATTCTGTTTTTGTCTTTCTTGATCGCGTCTTCTAGCATCTTCCTGATCACGTCTTGATTGTTCTTCACGCTTTCTACTGTCTTCTTGTTCACGTCTTCTATTATCTTCTTGCTGCTTTCTTTGCTCCTCTTGTTCACGTTTTCTTCTATCTTCCTCCAGTTGTTGCCTTTGAGAGTGTGATGGAATAGATACTGGAATTTGTCTCGGAGAATATTGTGATGCAGCTCTGTTGATTCTTTTTACGGCAAAACCTTCATCGCTGATCATTAGACTCGAATTGCAATCTTGTATAGTTTTATCTGATTGGAAGTTGAGAGCAATTTGGTTTTTATTGTTAACCCAAAGTTTGTTGCTATACATTCCATCTAGTATTCCAATCGAGATGTATTGACATTTTTGCTCTCTGTTGACATCCCAAGTGACGATTTCATTTTTCTTAATCTCACAAAAACCGTCTTGATACTTACAATTTTTCATTTCAGCCATAATATTAGTTGGCTTGGTTTGATTATAATGTGAGTAAACTTTTGTTTCAATAACAATACAATTTTCTTTGTAATATCTTTTCGGAGTGAAGAAGCTAGTGAATCTATTCGGATAATCTACATCTATTTTGTTATTGGTGCTCCATGTGTTAGAACTACCTTTCGTTAAAGATCCAAACCCACATTTTTTACTGTTTATCATTTCTCTACATTCTGCAAGTGTTATGGGATAGTTGTTCAATTCTTTCTCTACTAAATGTTCGTAGCCAGAAAAGTCTGTGTACATGGATACTTCGCTAACTAACTTTTTACAGAGTTTTGCTTCAGAAATGTATTCAATAATGTTTGGTTTGAAAACCTCATACTGTACAATTTCTGATTGACTGTTGAGTATTCTGTGATAATTACACTTGTGTAGTTTTGGGATTCTGAAATATTGGACAGGAGAGTTATCAGTACAAATAATAGGCTTACTTAATGTTTCTTGAAACCATGTCAAGAAGAAAATCACCGTTATAGTACTGAAAAGTTTGCGCATTTATTAACATAAAAAATATTTCCTTTTCTTCCTTTATAAATTGAAATAATGATAGAGGCTATCGATAAAATACTCGTAGTTGATGCTCCTATTGTGACTGATACTTCCATTCAAAAAGAGAATCTCATAAGTGTTTTTCCTTCTTCAGGTTCTAGTTTAAATCAACATGGAGAAATTAATTTTGTTATTGAGACATGTGATCAGTATCTACACTTGCATAAGTCTTACATTTACCTCGAAGTAGAACTTTCCAAATTAGATGACGCTGCTTTAGCAGAAACTGATGAAGTCTCCTTAACTAATAATGCACCAATGTTTTTGTTTGATAGAGCAACATATAGTATGGATGGTGTTCAAGTAGAAAACATAATGGATCCTGGTAGAGCTAGTTTGATGAAAGGTCTTTTGACTTATAGTAGTACTATGAACAAGCAGAATACTTTTGGCTGGATTTTAGAAACTAAGGATATTATAACATACAAGATAAATAAATATACGAAAAATAGAAAAGGCACTATAACTTTTTGCATTCCGTTGACACATATCTTTGGATTTGCTGAATGCTACAACAAAATAGTCTATGGTAGGAAGCATCAGTTATCACTCTACAGATCTCCTGAAAATAAAAATAGCATTGTATCGTCAGATGCTACAAAATTTACAGCGAAGATGAACATCAAAAGATTACAATGGATTATTCCAAAGATTGTCCCTAGTCTTGAAATGCAGATTAAATTATTGAATATTTTCGAAAGCAGTAAGTTAGTACAAATGCCTTTCATTTCTAGACAATTCGAAAGCTATAATATCCCTAATGGTAATAGGGAATTCACATGGAAGATGGGTACAAAATATGACAAAATAAAATATATTGTAGTAGCATTTCAATGTGCTAGGGATAACAACTATCTGAATGCTAGTAAATTTGACAATTGTGGATTAGAAGAAATTTATGTTGAATTAAATTCAGAGAGATATCCTCATGACTGTTTGAAATTTGATTTCGATAAGTTTAATGCTGTACAACAATACAATTTTGCTAAAGAGTTTAGAAACAGTTACTATGAATCGACAAAGGATTATATTTTTATGGAGGAAGATGTATATTATTACTACTACCCTCTGTTAGTATTTGATGTATCCAAACAGAATGATAGAATTATTCAATCAAGACCTGATGTCACAATCAAAGCTTCCTTTTCAAAGAGTATTGTAAAAAACACAAAATGTTATTGTTTGATTATGAGTGAAAATATTGTTGAAATTAAAGATAATAGAGTCAAAGTAGTAAGTGTTTAATTGAGATTAGTGTCAGGGATCCAAGAATTGAATTTATCAGGATAACCATACCACTTGACAAACAATTCTTTCTGTCCTTTCCTTGTTCTACGTTTTAATATCGATTCAATTTTATGCTCATCGTTTACGTTGTTGAAGAATGTTAGCTCTTCTTCATAAAACTTTCCTTTGATTTCTTCGTCTGCTAAATCCCGAATAGAATAACTGATAACTTCACCTGGATGCACTTCAGAAATTTTAAACATCTCTGTACTCCAGTTGGGGAGATAACCTTTAGCAAAAACAGCTTTGTATTTTGTGATTCTGACAGTGTCATCTATTTTAAACTTGGATTTGGGGGATTCCTCAAACAGCTTTTTCGAAGGAAAAAGATTGTCGTGTACTTTTTGCACATTCTCTGTTTTTGAAGCCTCAATAGGAGTCATTTTTATTCCTCGATGAAAGTGGTTATTATATCCAGAAACTAGTTTGTCCAATATTTTTGTCCATTTATGATCACCTTGATAGGTAAACATCTTCCACATTTTTTCTTTGAGAGTTCTATTAAATCTTTCTATAATAGACGCCTTTTTGTCGGAATAAGTTGAGAAATGGCGAATATCTGATTCTTTGAATAGTAGTTTCATTTCTTTGTTGTAGTACTCTTTACCATTATCAGTCTGCATTTTTTGAGGTTTTCTGTGTTTGAAAATCGTTTGTAGAGCGCTTGCAGTTTCTTTTCCAGTCTTTGTTTTCAGAGGGATAACCCAGGCATACTTACTGAAACAGTCTATGACAGTGAGAAGATATTTGAAATCGTTGTTCTCTTCTGCATACGGTATCATTTCAACAAGATCTGATTGCCATTGCTCATCAATATTGTGAACATAAACTCTTTCAGATTTGAAATTTTTACGAGCTGGTTTATGAAGAGTGTAGACGTCTTGTTCGTTCAGAAATCGCTTTACTTCTTCAATTGGCTTTTTAGTTTTTCTTTGTAGTTCATTGATTCCACAAAATCCAGTTTCAGGGTTGTAATATGCATCGTCTAGTTTGATTTCCGATTTTTTAGTTTCTTTGGTAGAGGGTTTGATGGATTTTAAAGTACCTCCACTTTTTGAATTGGGAATTATTTTGCATTTTTTCGTTTTGCATACTACACATTTTCCTCTCAACAACTGCTTGTTGTTAATGCTCAAAATCTGAGATATGTCGGTAGTATCTGTACTGATCCGACATTTGAAACAATACATTTATAAACAAAAAATTTGCTGAAGAATATGTGAGATTGAAATTGGTGTTAAGAATAGAATTCTCAAAGCGCCAGCGGAGCGTTAAAGGAGCGCTGACCATCTGATGGAGGGCCCGAGGAATTTTCGGGAAAATAGGGGGTGATTTTAAAAGGTCGTTTTTGATTGATTAATTAGGTTATCCTTGGAGATTGATATGAAATTTTGACAAAAGTGGTAATTATTAGAGGCGGGCCCAAAACTGCGCTAGAGCGTGACTTTTTATACTACTTACCTTCTTCTTGTCAGTGATGTTTCCAATTTGATAAAGCATTTCGTGAACAGATCTCATTACTTGTTCTTCCATTAAGTTTCTGCCAAGACCAAAGTCACGAAGGATCTTCAAAGATGTTCTTCTCTAAAGTCTCCAATTTTCTCCACTGGATTGTAAGATTCCAGTATTCAAGTGTGCTTGCAGTAGCGTTTCTGGTGGCCGTTCAGCGCGCATGATGAATGCTTCTCCTGAAATTAGTACCGTCAAAAGAAAATTTCTCAGCAATTTCAGAAAGAGAAATGAATAATATTTACCTTGGTTTACGAACGCACCTTTCAAGTAGTCGTAGTCAGTTATGACTACTGCTGGAAGTGGAGTCCAGAGAGTGAAGCATGGTCCATAAGTTTTTGAAAGATCATCAAAGTAGATATGAATGTTTTGACCGGGAAACTGAGAACGTCATAAATGTGTAAAAATCAAAATAACTTCACAAACCTGCAAAAGATTTTTAAAAGATAGTTAGACGGCAAAACAAAAGTTAGGCACTTCACGTTACATGTACTTATTTTGTAGTTGATGTACAAAGTCATTTTGTGATTGTGGTAAATAAGAATATATCCAATGTTTTATTTCATGGATAAACAAAATTTATTTACAATAAATTATACAGCTTGAGGAATCAGTTGGCACGTATAAGGCTTGGAAGTGAGTACACCTCCCCAAACTGGAGTCAAATCTACGTTATCGTTTGGCACAAACTCATATTTTTGAATAAGGGCGCTGAAAATTAAGAACAACTCCATACGGGCCAGTCCTTCTCCGACACAGTTCCTTTTTCCTATACTGAATGGGATTGTTCTTTCTAGGACTGCCTGAAACAGAAGTTTAGCATTCAAATTAACAAACACGCTCTTCCTACTTTGTTCAACGTTTTTCCGTCAGCTTGCAGATACCGGCTTGGGTTGAACTTGTGACTCTCGTCGAATACTGAGTCATTTTTCAAAATTGACCAGACTTGAGCAAAGATAACTGTCCCTGTTGGCACGTTCTGGCCTTTCACAATGATATCTTCGGTATCTATAAATCGTTTTTCGCCGACATATTCAGAATAAAAAACTCACTAGTGTGACTTCCCAGCATTGGGATCATATTGGAATGTCTTTGTACTTCATGAATAACCGATTGTGTGTAAGGCATATTAGGTTTATCGGACATTGATGGCAATCGAGATGCTCCAACGACTTCGAAGATCTCTTTACGGACATTATCTTGAATTTCAGGGTACTTCATCATGTAGGCAAGATGCCAACGAAGGGAATTCGATGTAGTCTCCATACCAGCAAGCCAGAAGTCCAAAACAGAAGCACAAAGGTTTGGCATACTGAAACATGCAAACAATGGCATTTATTTTTTTTTGCAGACTAACTCTAATCCGGGATTTCCAGTTTGTTTCATTTGTTGCATGTACGCATGAACAAAATTATCCGGTTCACTTTCCCCATCATACTCTTTGATTTGACTGGCAACTTCTTCCTCGATAAATCCTTGGTACTGAAGACAGATTATAGATATTCACAAGAATATTGAAATAAACTCAATTGTTTAATGTTTCTTGCAATTTTGTGATATCCATGTTCGCCAATGATTGGCACGTGTCTAAGCCAAGGGAATGCACCCATAAGCAACGGAATTTTTCCTGTAATAGCTCTCAAATGACGATCCACAACCTGGACAAATGTTTTGAATCGATCAGCATCTTCGTATTTGTAATGGTATCCGAATAAACTCTCATTGATAACATTTCCAACACAAAGTTGGATTGGCCAGAACATGTCTACCTTCTTCTTGTCAGTGATGTTTTCAATTTGGTGAAGCATTTCGTGAACAGATCTCATTACTTGCTCTTCCATCAAGTTTCGACCCAGACCAAAGTCACGAAGGATCTTCAAAGATGTTCTTCTCTGAAGTCTCCAATTTTCTCCACTCGATGCTAAGACTCCAGTGTTGATATGTGGTTGCAATAGCGTTTCTGGTGGCCGTTCAGCGCGCATGATGAATGCTTCTCCTGAAATTAGCACTGTTGAATAAAACAATCTCAGCAAATTCTGGAAGAAAAGTTAATAATGTTTACCTTGGGTTACAAATGCATCTTTTAGGTAGTCATAGTCAGTGATGACTACTGCTGGGAGTGGAGTCCAGAGAGTGAAGCATGGTCCATAAGTTTTCGCAAGCTCATCAAAGTAGATATGGATGTTTTTGTCGGGAAACTGAAAGATATAATGAATGTGTGAAAATCAACTCGTCTTCTCACACCTGTAAAACATTCCCAATTAGTGGAAGTGGAAATGGTCCCTTGGGATACTTGCTAACTTTCCAATAGAAATGAGCAATATAAGTGATAACAAATACAAGAAAAGCGACAATCAATACACTCATTTTGGTAACAACACTGTCTCAGCATTTGGCTGTTGTCTTATATAGAGAGCGTGGTAAGAGATGCAAGAGGTAACATTAACTACAAAATAAATTCATGTAACGTTAACTACAGAACTACAGAAGACACCCAAAGTGTGTTTTCTGATCCTATGGTTTGTGTCAAGATGAGAGTGTTCTTCACAATCCCAGTTTCAAAATGCATAAGCCTGAACAAATTAATGAAGACGATTATTGTCTTTTTTAAAAATTAGTGCTTTGTTCATTAACTATTGGCATTCCTTAAAAAAATTTTTTTCTACATAAATTACCTTTGATTTAAGTGTTTTACTGACTTCTTAGTTGGCGTTATCCAGGCTCAATGTTAATCATTTCAAAAAATGATAATTTGAAAACACACTTATCTTGACACGAATCACTGGATCAATAATCACTATTCGGTTCTCTTCGAAGGAAATGAGACGGAAAAATAAAAATTCTCTAGTTTACGTCACAGAAACTAATTTTGTAGTTAATGTTACCTCTGGTATCTCTAACCACGCTCTATATAAAATAAAAATGCCAAGTGACAAAAACAACAAAAACAACATGTTTTATTTTTTAGAGTCAAGTCCCATCAGTAGTCATGACTAATTAAGGCTAATTGAAAGATTTTTTGAGGTTTATTCAAAATATCGAGACGAGACATTTTTTGGCGGCCTCATGTTCTAATACTTTAATCACATCTTCAATTACTTCAATCAATTTTTTTGCAATCTTTGAGTTATGACCTAAAGATTTTTCGCAGCAAAAATAACACTTGATCAATTAGGGTACAGGATATTCGGCCGATTACGATCAAGAATCACATGAAATTGAAAAATAGTGTGATTTTTGGGTCAACAGAAATACAACACAAAATCATTGTTTAACAATCAAAAAATGATATTCAAATATTCATTCTAAAAATTGAGTATGATTAATTTCACAATAAATTATACAGTTTGGGGAATCAGTTGGCAGGTGTAAGATTTGGAAGTGAGTACACCTCCCCAATCTGGTGACAAGTCAATGTTAGAATTTGCGATAAACTCGTATTTCTGAATAAAGGCGCTGAAAATCAAGAACAACTCCATTCTTGCCAACCCTTCTCCGGCACATGCCTTTTTTCCAATACCGAACGGGATTTTTTTTTCTATAACTGCCTGAAAGAGAACTTGGTTATGAAAGCTAACGAACAAGCTATTCCTACATTGTTCAACGTTTTTCCGTCCGCTTGTAGATACCGGCTTGGGTTGAACTTCTGGCTCTCGTCGAACATTGAATCGTTTTTCATAATTGACCAGATCTGACCAAAAACGAGTGTTCCTGTTGGCACGTTCTGTCCCTTCACAACGACATCTTCGGTATCTGTAAATCATTTCTCTTTTACATCTTCAGAATTAAATACTTACTTGTGTGAAATAACATTACTGGAATCATATTAGAATGTCTTTGTACTTCATGAATAACTGCTTGGGTGTATGGCATATTAGGTTTATCAGACATTGATGGCAAACGAGATGTTCCAACAACTTCGAAGATTTTTTCACGAACTTTATCTTGAATTTCAGGATACTACATCATGTAGGCAATATGCCAAAGGAGAGAGTTGGAAGTGGTTTCCATGCCAGCCAACCAGAAATCTAGAACAGAGATTCGGCATGCTGAAACATGCAAACAATGAAATTTTTATTATGTATAACTCTCACTCTAAACCAGGGTTTCCTGTTTGTTTCATTTGTCTAGGCGTGGACAAAATTTTTGTAGGCGTGGACAAAATTTTCTGGTTCACTCTCTCCATCATACTCTTTGATTTGATTAGCAACCTCTTTCTCGATAAATCCTTGATACTGAAAACAGCACACAGCGTTTCACAAAATGGAGTGGTGCCAATTTTATGATATCCAAGTTCTCGGATGATTGGAACGTGTCTAAGCCAGGGGAAAGCAGTCATCAGCAACTGGAGTTTCCCTAGAGCAGCTCTTAAATGTCTATCCGCAATTTGAACGAAATTTTTGAACCGATCAGCATCGTCGTATTTGTAATGGTATCCGAACAAACTCTCATTGATAACATTTCCAACACAAAGTCGAATTGGCCAGAACATGTCTACCTTCTTCTTGTCGTTGATGTTTTCAATTTGTTGAAGCATTTCGTGAACAGATCTCATTACTTGCTCTTCCATCAAGTTTCGGCTCAGACCAAAGTCACGAAGGATCTTCAAAGACGTTCTTCTCTGAAGTCTCCAGTTTTCTCTACTGGATACTAAAACTCCAGTGTTATTGTGGGCTTGCGGTAGAGTTTCTGGTGGACGGTTAATGCGTGTGATGAAAGCATCTCCTGAAATTGGTACCGTTGAATGAATAAAATACCAGAAAATTCAGTAAGAAAACTGAACAATGTTCACCTTGGGTCACAAATGCATCTTTCAAGTAGTCGTAGTGGGTAATGACTATTGCTGGAAGTGGAGCCCAGAGAGTGAAACATAGTCCATACATTTTACAAGTTCATTAAAGTGTCATGTTTTCACCGGGAAGCTAAAAAAAATATTATGATTTTTTATTCGCAAACCTGTAAAAAATTTCCAATAAAAGGGAGTGGGAATGGTTCTTTGGGATATTTGCTGACTTTCCAATAGAAATGAGCAATGTACGCGATAATGAATACAAGAAATGCAATTATCAGTACACTCATGTTGCTGAAAAACACTGTCTTATTGCTTGGTATTTGTCTTATGTATAGAACGAGACTACGTATGTTGTTAAAATAGGTAGTTAACTACACGTGTAGTTTACATATGTAGTTTACTAATATGAGTAGTGTCGCAGTTTCTGGCGATTGTTAAGTTCATGAGAACGCATTAATGTGATTTTTCAGTCTGCTCTATTAATGATTCACTTCTCTATATTGTTCCGATGTCCACTCTGACCGTTTCTTGAGGACTTCTTCCTCCAAAAACACAGTTGATATTTTTGGTTTCCATTCATGAGAATTTGAATTCTTATTCGAAAACGCAAAAATCCTTCTTTTTCGTGATTTTTCATTGATGAACCGAAAACATTTTCACATTTTCGATATGGATTTTTGTGGATTGGATAAGTTGTGACAGAAACGAGAAATCGCAATAATTTATATCGGAAAATCGGCAAATACCCGAAGGGATTCATCCTATTCCTGCTAGTTGCAAAAATTTTACAGATGTGTGACGATATTTCGTAATATATTTTCATTATTTTTCAGTCTCCTCAGAAAAACATCCATTCCTAGAAGTAGTCATCACTGATTGTGATTACTTGTGAAAAAATTCGTAACCCAGAGTGAACATCATTCACTTTTCTTCCAGAGTTGGCTGATTTTTTTATTCAGCGAAACCAATTTGAAGAGAGTTATTCTGAATTTAATATAGTGATTCAGATTCATTTTTTCTCGCAAATGTTAAAACCGAAGTGTTGATATCTATGAAAAATTTTTAGAACCGAGGAAGAAAAATTATCAATTTTGAAATTTAATCTGAAAATTGTCAAACGGAAAAAACATGCGACATACTTTTCCAACATATTTAACCAATATTTCTGGTTTCTTGAAAAACGCTGAACATGTGAAGTTAATTTCATTTGATGTAGAAGCATTCATTCCAATGGTTACAGGAACAAAAATTTTTTAAATAGAGTTTAAAAGATACAATAAATATTCTTCAAAACACTTTTCTCATTTCACAAGTGTATGGTTTGATAGTGAGTACTGCTCCAGCGTTATAGCTCATATCAACCGGACCATTAGCAATAAACTCGTACTTCTGAATCAATGCGGTGAAAATCAAGAAAAGTTCCATGCGAGCCAAGCCTTCTCCCACACAACTCCTCTTTCCTACACTGAATGGGATCGTTCTTTCCAGAACAACCTAAGAGAAGACGTTAAGAAATGTTGTAAATCTAAAAAAGCTCACTTTGTCAAAAGTTTTGCCATCTGCCAGGAGATACCTGCTAGGGTTAAATTCCAAATGGTTTACAAAAATAGGGTCGTTCTTCATAACTGACCAAGTTTGAGCGATAACATTGGTCCCAGCTGGAATTTTTTTTCCCAAGATTTCAGTTTCTTGAACACCTGAAACGCGATTTTTTTAAATACCGATTACTTAAAAATCAAGTGCTCACTCTGATGAGTTCCCAAGAATGGAACCATGTTCGAATGTCGCTGAACTTCATGAATGACTGCTTGGGTGTATGGCATTTTCGGCTTGTCAGACATTGAGGGCAAACGAGAGGTTCCCACAACATCAAGAATTTCTTTTCGGACATTTTCTTGTATCACCGGATGTTTCATCATATAAGCAATATGCCATCGGAGCGCATTTGAGGTGGTTTCCATTCCAGCCAGCCAGAAGTCGAGAACACAAGCGCATAAGTTTTTCATGCTGTAATTTTTGTTGATTCATATGAAAACAACCTCTTCCTGTTCTTGATGGACTCACTCTAGTCCGGGATGTCCAGTTTGTTTCATTTGCTGGAGATAAGCATGAACAAAGTTTTCTGGCTCACTCTCTGTGTCAAATTTCTCTAATTGTTTTTCAACTTCCTCTTCGATGAATGATTGGTACTGGAAAAAAAATAGTTTTTTTAAGTCAGCTAGTCAGGTACCCACCGTTTTGATATTTCTCTTGATTCGATGATAACCCAGCTCTCCAATAATTGGCACGTGGCGGAGCCAAGGGAACGCAGAAACCGAAAGTGAGCATTTTCCGAGAAGAATCCTTAGGTGATAATCCACAACATTCACGAACTTTTTGAATCTTTCACACTCGTCGTACTTATAATGAAATCCAAATAAAAACTCGTTGATCACATTTCCAACACAAAGTTGGATTGGCCAGAAAATCTCAGCCTTCTTTTTATCCATACTTTTCGCTAGCTGTTCCATCATTTCTTGGATCGATTTCACAATTTGCTCTTCCATCAAATTTCTTCCCATTCCGAAATCTCGGAGGATTTTAAGAGATGTTCTTCTTTGAAGACGCCAGTTTTCTCCACTGGAATTCAGAATACCGGTGTTGTCATGAGGTTGGAGAAGAGATTCTGGAGGGCGATGAGCTCGGTAGGTGTAAGTTTCTCCTGGAAATAGTCATCAGGTACTGTACCGGTCGAAAAGATTTACAAAAACGTGTTTTTAAGTTGATTTTCGGCCATTTTCAGGGGGCTGGAGGTTGGCTGTCAAGTGCCAGATCTCTCTGGAAGCATTGGAGGTATGAAAGAGGTATAAATTGAAAACTTTGCATTCAACGAAGTTTTTGAAAATTCCCAGTTTTTCAGCTTGTTTCACGTTTTCAGTACCGAAACAGTTAAAAAAGGGAGTCTTTCAAAAATCGGGCAAATAGCTGAAAAACGAGAAAATTTTTTTAATTCTCTGAATGAAAAGCTCTCAATCTAAAACTGTTTTACATTCCCTAAAAATTTCAAATTGATCGAACACTTGACAGCCGAGCTCCAGACTCCTGAAATTGATCAAAATCAACTGAAAATTCTGACATTCTCCTTGAAAATGAAAATAAATTAATTACCCTGTGTAACAAACGCGTCTTTGATATGAGCATAATCAGTTATCACAACACATGGAAGTGGAGACCATACAGTGAAAATCGGACCATAGGTTTTCGAGAGATCATCAAACCAAACTTCAAGTTTGTCGTCGGGAATCTGAAAAAAAGAAGAAAGCAGATCATTGATAAATATTATCCTGAAAAAAAACCAGCAACCTGATGAATATTCCCAATTAATGGCAAAGGGAATGGCCCTTTTGGATATTTTCGAACCTCCCAATAAAAATTGATAATATAGACGACTGTTATTAAAACAAACGAAATGATAAGAAGTGACATTTGCTTTTACTATACTCTTGTTTCTTTTCCAACTGTCGTTTATATAGGTAAGAAATTGTCTGCCCTCCAGTCACAAAACACACTATGTCGGCAAGTCTCCGTGGAGTTTGTGATCTTTAAATTTGTTGTTTTTTGAATAAGAAGAGAAAAACAATTTTTCAATTAAGACGCATTCTCTGAAAGAACCGAAAATAGTGCTGTACACTAAAATTCAAACTAGCTTTTATGGATTGATATTATATTTTTTTTTTGAAAGTTGGAAAATTTCTAAGATAAAAAATGCACGTTTGGTTTGGACCGACCCAGTACGGTCCAAACGGTGATCAACTTTGGTCAAAAAAATGAAAAATTTTCTCGATGAAGGTAATGATTAGATTTAACTCAGAATAGGTTATTCTTGCTATTTTGAGCATTTTTGTGTTGAAACGAAAATTCTAACTCGTTTCCTTTCAATTGAAAATTTTCAATTTATTTCCGATTTTGAAAAAAATTACTGAAAATCCGTTGTCGTGAAACATTTTAACATTAGCTAAAAAAAGATAATAACAGATTCAAAACCAGCGTCCAAAATTACATTAGAAAATATTTGTTTAAATTTAAATATCCTGAGCAAACGGTGAGTTTACGGCCAAAATGTGCCAAAAAATGAGGATTCACCATGTGGGGGAGTATATGACAACTAAAATTCGTCCAAAATCGACCCTCTCCAATTTTGATCAAATTTATACCAGATGTTGTATTTTTGATGTATAGTATTCGGGCAAAGTTTCAAAATACGTTCTCATCGTCTTCATGCTTTTTTGTAGCTCTAATTTTTTTCACTGAAATTTTACTTGAAAGCAATTTTTGCCGCTTTTTTGGAGCTTCGAAAAATGCAGGAAGACGATGAGATCGGATTCTGAAACTTTGCCAGAGTACTACCTATGACAGATGCTACATCTGACATAAATTTGATCGAAATTGGTGATGATCGATTTTGGTCGAATTTTAGTTGCCATGTACTCAATAAGAGCTACAAAAAAGCATGAAGACGATGAGAACGTATTTTGAAACTTTGCCCGAATACTATCCATCAAAAATACAACATCTGGTATGAATTTGATCACAATTAGAGAGGGTCGATTTTGGACGAATTTTAGTTGTCATGTACTCCCCCACATGGTGAAACCTCATTTTGTGGCACATTTTGGCCTAAAACTCGCCGTTTGCTCATGATATTCGAACTCAAACAAACATTGACTAATGTAATTTTGGACGCTGGTTCTCAATCTCTTATTACGTTTTTCCAGCTGATGTTAAAATGTTTCACGACAACGGATTTTCAGTAATTTTTTTCAAAATTGGAAATAAATTGAAATTTTTCAATTAAAAGGAAACGAGTTAGAATTTTTGTTTCAACACAAAAAATGCTCCAACTAGCAAAAATAACCGATTCTGAGTTAAATCTAATCATTACCTTCATCGAGAAAAATTTTCTTTTTTTGACCAAAGTCACCGTTTGGACCATACTGGGTCGGTCCAAACCAAATGTGCATTTTTTTTAGAAATGTCCCAACTTTCAAAATATATAATATCAATCCATAAAAACTAGTTTGAATTTTTCTGTACAGTGAATAGTAGGGCTGAAGTTGAGTTCTTCAGAGAACGTGTCTTAAAAAAATTCACAATTCTTAAAACTCTTTTCTTACTAAAAAACTAAATAATTCACTTGAAAAACCGTTGTGTTGGCTTTTTCTCATTCAGTAAAAAATTTCAAAAAGAAATCCGTCGAGCCGGATTCGAACCAGCGACCTAAGGATAACCACTGACTCTACAGTCCTCCGCTCTACCAACTGAGCTATCGACGGCACATTAGCTGTTAGGCAGAGTGTCTATGAAGTCTGTGTCGTGTGGAGACACTAGTTTCTCTCTTATTGAATGTATCAAACACACACGCACACTTGCGCATGGGAAGCAAGAGAGAAAAAAGTCGCAGCCGAGGGAGCACATGGCTTGTCTGGACAGAGAAGAGTGTAATGAAAAAAGTTCAAGAGCGTCAAAATTATATGAAAGTTTTAATTTGAATACTATACTGGAAAATCAAGTTAATACTTCAAAGCATACTTGTAAAATTCCAGGCCGGCCCGCCAAAGCACGGGCCGGGCCTGAGGAAGTTTTCAAGGCCCGGGCCCGGCCCGGAAGGCCCGGTGTCAAAAATTCTGTATTTTTGAGCCAAATTTTGAGCTCTCAATATAATTTTTTTTCATTTTTTTTGTATTACGGATTGTTTGTCTGTCTGATCAAAAAAGATCGAAAAACTCGAAAAAAAATTTTTTGGTCGAAAAAAATCACATAAGGGTCCCCCCTTATGTGTTTTTTGAAAATTTCGAAACTAGTGAAATGACGGGCCGGGCTCGGGCCGGGCCTTCGAAATTCCGAAAAAAGCCCGGCCCGGCCCGTTACAAGTATGCTTCAAAGTGTTGAGTAATTAAAAAAAGAAAGGTTGGGTTGTAAACATGAAAACCATATTATGCAAAAAATACCGTTGGTCGCCATTAAAGGGTTTAAAAGAAAGATAAGTGTACATTAAAAAATACATTAGAAACTGTTTTGAAATAAAAGATAAATCTGAGCACCTTATGAGTTTTGGGCCAAAATGTGCCCAAAAATAAGGTTTCTCCATGTGGGGGAGTGGGGAAATTCGACCAAAATCGACCCTCTCCGATTTTGTTCAAATTCTCACCAGATGTATTAGGTTGGCGGGAAAGTCTTTGTCACTCTGTTTGTTTAATCACTGTTCTCGTATATGGAGGCTGTGTATGATATCGACTCTAGTGAATAACAAGGTGATAAGAACCTTCCATATAAACAAGTCCCCATTTCCTTCCCTGCTCCTCATCTGTAATTGAAACGATATGTTTGTTCCCACTGCTATTCACATCAGACATGTTTTGATTTACCTCTTCCTATCTCACACCACGATGAAGGATTCGGAAACTTTCTTGAAGAATGTGTACAACACACATGCCCCTCACTACAATACTATTCGCAATTGGTTCCATCGTTTCGAAAAAGATGACTTCTCGCTCGATGAAAAGGATCGCTCTGGGAGACCCCGTGAGTTGGATTTGGACAAGCTGAAGCACGCATTGCAATCGGATCCATTTCAATCTAGCCGTGAACTAGCTGTCACATTCGGAGTTCACCATAGCACAGTCCTTGAAGGTTTGAAGTCTCTTGGAATGAGAAAACTTTTTGGTCGATTCATACCTCATCACCTGACTCAAGCCAACCTTGACCGCCGAGTCGACGATTCGATTACTCTTCTCACTCTCCACGCGGGCGATCGATGGCTGGACCGGCTAATAACCGGAGATGAGAAGTGGGTCTTCTACGATAATCACCACAGGAAATCCCAGTGGGTTGGAGAAGGAGAGAGCCCACAGGATGTCCCCAAACCCGGCCTTCATCCGAAAAAAGTTATGCTCTCTGTGTGGTGGGGAGTGGACGGCCCCATCTACTGGGAACTTCTGCCCGAGGGCAAAACAATAACTGGAGACCTCTACACTACTCAACTACGAAACCTCAAGAAAGCAGTCGACCGTTCGGCCCTGAAAGACAAGAAAGTGTACTATCAACATGATAACGCTCGCCCACATGTTTCGAAACAAGTGAAGCAGGAGCTGATGGGATATGGATGGAATGTTCTCCCTCACCCCCCGTATTCTCCTGATCTTGCTCCTTCCGACTATTGGTTATTTGGCGATATGACACGTGCCTTCGAAGGAAGAAGCTTCGATTCCCGTGGAGCGGTCGAAGCGGCACTCAAACAATACTTTGCCTCACGCCCGGCTGGATTCTACCGCAATGGAATCCATAAATTGAGGGAACGTTGGAGACATGTTGTTGATAATGATGGACAATATAATTAATTATTCGGTTATTTTTTCTTTGAGAAATAAACTATTGAAAAAGTGA